CGCGCGTTATCAAGACGATTCTAACGACTTATGGATAAATTATTTATAAGTCGTTGCATAAATAAATTATTCATAAGTATTCAGAATAATTAAAATAGGTTAAGCTGTTTAGTAGTTACGAGGGAATATAGGAGGGTAGGATCGGACATACATACATACATTCAGGTCAAACAATAACTCTCCCGCTAATTTTGTCCACGATGTAAAATCTACGAGTCTGAACGATAGATGGCGCTTGAGTCGTACTCGAACAATTTAAGATTGCGTATATAAGTATAACTATATGTATGTATGTATGTATGTATGTGTATATGTGTGTACTTATATGGAAGTATTTCTTTTTATTTTTTTTTAATGGGGGAAACAAACAAGTGTTTACAAGTATTTATACAATAGATTATATAAATGGTTCATAGACCAATAGTTTCCACTGATAAGTTAATCATATCGAGCGGTGAAGTTGACACTTGACACTTTACAAAAGAAAGTACATATTACACTTAACAAAAACAAAAAAAAGATACAAAAATGAGTATGTATGTATGTATGTATATAGGTAAGTATTTAGTATGAGTGTACAATTTACCTACATTCTTGTTATTTTATAACTAGGTAAAACCAGGGTAGGTCGCATGTTCCAAATATAGAAAAAGGCGTAATTGAGTAATTAGACACTCTTAATTTTGCAATATCATTGGTATTTGTATCAAGCTTGTTAATTAGTATCTGCTGAATTAGATTTGCCTGTTACAAAACACCTTCTATTTTTTAGAGTTGGGACCTTAAACGATTTCTTTATCATGCATGCAAATCCTTTAACAACGGTTGACTATTTAGCCAGCCGTGTCAAAAATATATACAACTTCCTTAAAAATAATACAACTATTCCAACCTGGATTTTCACGTCGTTTCAAAGGAGTCTAAGTTAAAACTATGATTAGAATTAGATATACATACGTTAAACATGAGATACCAATAAAAAATCACGATTTTGATAATGAAAAGAACTTAGTGACATCTCTGATAGAGCTAGGTAGATATTGTATTTACGTTTATCCTATCTAGTGTTCGTTTACGTCTTCGTTTGCAAGCTTCGAGGATAAAAAAAACATCTCTTTTTTTAAATTTAATCCTATGAAAAAGAAATATAAAGATATTCCCAAGGAGGGTTGACGTCAGGCAGGCGGCCGGTCGTAAAACTTTTGGGAAATGGGCAGGGAAAAGAAGAAGAAGAATCCAATGAAAAAGATTAAAACCGTTTTCATTCAGTCAAAACGTTATTTTCTTTTGTTAAATATACTGTATTAAATATACTGTATTTTCCATGCTGATGCTACACGACATTGTCGAGGTAAATTGCGTCTACGCACGCACGCACGTTTAAGGCCATAAAACAAAGAATGAAATCGAAATGAAAAATATACGAAACGAAATTATAGATTTTTTTTATAATATTTGTCTGTTACTGTTATAAGATTTATACGATATACTCGTATGTTAAGTTCAATATGTATTAAGCCTAATATGTAATGTATGTAATATGTATGTATGTCTACAGCCCTTTTTAACATCCCACTGTTGGGGGTGGGCTCCCTTCAATACGAGGGGAATAAGGCCATAGTCCCCCACGCTGGCCAAGTGGTCGGCGGACTACAAACTTGTTAAGTTCTCACAGACATGCAGGTTCCTTACGATGTTTTCCTTCACCGTAAGGCAAGTGATAATCATGTTAAAAATGATTCGCACATGAAAACATCAGAGTTGCGAGACCCTGGATTTGAACCTGCTTCACTCGGTTTCTCAAGCGAGCGCTTTACCACTGGGCTACCACTGCCTTTAATATGTAATAGTGGTATTCTATTATATTAGAAACAATGGGAGCCTATTGGTTACGCATTCGTTTTAAACTTAAGTGACGCGCTTTGATACCCTGTTTTCGCGCTTTTGAGATTTTCATGTATGACTCATTTTCTATAAGTATAAGTATCATTTGCTAACACATAATTTGGTGAAGGAAAATATCATTAGAAAAACTGCCTGTTTAAGAGAATCTATATATAAATAAATAGTTTCCAAATACGTGTAAAATATGTCGCATGGGCCTGACTTAGTGGACTATGGCCTTTACTCCACAATTTGATAAGAGGTCAATACCCACCAGGGAGAAGTTAGAAAAGCTGAGTTATATATTAGCTGACCTTACACATTTAGTCTTATCTAAACAATAATTTGTGTGCGTGATCTTTGAGGTCATATAAATATCGTATAGAAGACAAGTTACAATTTTTCCCGAATTTCACAATTTTACGGGCATCTTTCCCAATTTTATTTTACATAAAATTCTTATTCAGAACATACGTTTTAACAGTTAGTATGATTTCTCAGAGATGAGATATTTTCCCGCAGTAAAAAGTATCCTATATGTTGTCCTGAATAACCAGCTAGCTATCATCATACCAAATTGGTGGTACCAGTGGTTTTCTTATGATGCGTTCCCAGACAGACAGACAAACAAAAAAACTAAAAATTGTAGTTTCGGCCTCTGTATCAATAACTAACTATTTCAATAAGATTTTCCAAAAATATTTAAGGTACAGATTCGTCTTAGTTAGAATTTTATTATATGTATACTCGTATATGTAATAATATAAATTACTTTATAGATTACTCGTAGCATCTGTTCATAGTAACATAGCATCATAATAGGTTTTACTATCGAATATCATATTTATTTAATAAATTATTAATGTCGATTAGAGTGATGACTAACAAAAGATATGTATTAAGTAATAATAGTAAGTTTACATAATTTACAAGTAATCTCTAGTAATTGAAATATTAAATTATCTGAATTAGTATAAATCAAATGTAATATAATGATATTCTAAAACAGTTAAGAAAATTTTGACAAATTCTTGTAAGTTAAAGTAAAATACTTTAACTTATAGTAGAACTAAATTTTTTATTCTATTTGTATCTTCCTTTTAAAATAAAATTGCAAAGAAACATATAAACTGCCTCTCCTACTATTTTAACATCACTATATCCAATATGATTATCATTTGTCGTACGGTGAAGGAAAATATCATGAAGAAACCTGTATGTCTGAACTTAGTATGTTTACGAAAGACATGCGCAGTCCGCTATCTCGCACTTAGCCAATGTGATGGTCAATAGCCTGATCCCCCTTAGTATTGAGGGAAGGCTCTTGCCCTCTTGCCTCTTGTGTTATGGATACCAGATAGTTAATACACTACACATATATAACTTTAAATACATACACATTATAAATATAAACACCTATGACTGGAGTACAAACATTCGTGCTTATCACACAAATGAATGCCCCCAACGGGACTCGAACCCACGACCGCTGACACAGTATGTAGGCTCTCTACAAACTGAGCAAGTCGTCAAATGAGTTGGCAATGTCAGCTTAACGAACTATTTTGAATGGTCTCCCTAAACTGAGGTGATAAGATTAGATAGTTTTTATCTCATTTAACGTAAATATATACGCAAAACCACAGCAACATTCAGTTGCTAATCGCATTTAGAACCATTTACTCGTAGTAGAGCAAATATGTATTGATTGCGTACAAAATTCGTTAAGTTAAAATAAATTAATGTGAAACAAAATGATTCTTAATGATCTATCGACAGATCGGAAGGAAACTGAGGTATTTTGGTTTTATATTGTCTTTAAGAATGATAAAAATACATATATTAAATTATTAATTTAATAAAAAAATATTTACATCATATTTTTATGTAATGAAAGACTTTTGATTTTTATTACGATAAAAATATTTTTATACATGACATTTTTTTAAATATTTTTTTATTCCAGTTCATTCAATTTGTTTAGGGTTTTATTATATTTAAAAAATATAATGCCTAGTATGAGTAAAGGTTGAATACTATTTCGGAGTTGAAAGGAAGTTCAATTTAAAATAATATATTTTGGTATGCTACAGACAAACTGACATTCAAATTATTTTATATATTATTTTGGACAGCATATAAGATATAACTAATGTATCACTTATTGTTTGGCTACAAAAATAACATTCTATCACGAACCTATCAATAGATGAAGTCCGAACAAATTCATACACAACTATTTTTCTAAATAAATAAGTTTTTTTTCATTTTTTAAGGAATAGATATCTACTTAGAAAATAGCATAAATCTTTATCTCATAAGGAAATATAGTAAAAATCACCTATAACTAAGTGACTTAACCATACCCTCCGCTTTTATGTAGGCATTAATGTTTTTGCTTTCACTGCACACGGATGCCTTGCCATATTTAGACATACTAGCATTGCCCGCGGCTCCGCCCGCGTTCAGATGACCAAAAAGAAAATTCTTAGGTTTTACATATCAGTATACTCTTACAATGTAGTTTTTGTATTTTTTCTCAGAAATAAGAAAATAAATATTTTTTGAAAAATCTTATTGAAATAGTCATTATTATAGATACAGAAGCCGAATCTATAGTTTTTAGATTTTTTGTCTGTCTGTCTGGGAACACATCACGGGAAAACCACTGAAAAGACTTTGATGAAAATTAGTATGGTGATAGCTGGTTATCCGGGTCAACATTAAGGATACTTTTTACTGCGGGAAAAGATCTCATCTCTGAGAAATCTATACCACGGTAATATAATTACCGTGGTAATGGGTAGAGAGTTGAAATTTTCACAAAGTGAAAACAAATAATAAAAAACCAAGATGGCGTATTTCAAAAACGCTGCCATGCAAATTTAAAAAAAATGATTATCGTACGGCACCATTCGTATGTGAGTCCGACTCGCACTTGACGATTTTCATTTATGAAGTATTTAAAATAAGTAAGGCAAAGTAGTTTTAAAAGCGTATGAATTGAAAAGGATTTACATGAACTAATAGCATTTTTATCTTGTCGCTTTAAGATAAGCCATTCTAATAATTTCCATCTGTAAACCAGTTAAAAAATATATATTTTTCTATTACAGGACGTAAAAGAAGATCTAAATAAAAATAAAAAGAGCAATGATGAGAGCGACGCATTGGAAGCTGTACTCATGTATATCGGAGAGCTGGGACGATACCAGAAACTATTATTCCTCGGGATGGCCCCATTCGGTGTTTTCTTCGCCTTCGTTTATTTTGTACAGATGTTCATAACCGCGACCCCTCAGAGACATTGGTGCAAAGTGCCTGAGTTACAGCATTTGGATGTAGAACTAAGGTAAGTAATTATTTGTTTACCTACTAGCGACTCACGTTCGTCGCTAGATGTCAAATTTGTTCTAAATCGGTTCAGCGGATTAAATGTGAAAAAGTAACAGACAGACAGATTCCCATTTATATATTAGTATGGATTTACCTATTAATAGCAATAGTAAAATAAATAGTTTCAGTATGTTTTATTGTGTTACTTCTTCCCCTACCTATTTTAGTATGTCACTCCTTTATATTTAGTTGAAGGATCACTGTTAGCTACTTTTTGAAAAAATTAGCTCTTTGATTAAAAAATTACTTCATGTAAAAATCGAACTCAACATAAGTTCCTGGACGATGCAACATTTTCTTGGTAGAAAAACTCCAAGACGCATTTTTCTCCAACCCGTGTCTGGGGAACCAATTCAGAATCTCGGGATCTGCAGTGGTTAACTTACCACTAAACTAACAAGACAGAATTTAAGTTTTCGTTTTCAATTTTATAGGCGGAATCTAACGACACCAACAATTGGAGATGAATGGGATAAATGTGTTATGTACAATGCGAATTGGAGTCAAGTATTGATGAACAACAGTGTACCGAGCGACTCACCCGTAGTTCCTTGTAAAAATGGTTGGGAATTCGAATTGGGGGATATTCCCTATGCAACGATTGTTAGTGAGGTAAGCATTTCTATGAATTTTAGTATTATAATTGTTCAAGTAAGTTGCCTCCAGATTTTACATAGAGTAACTTATCTTTAACAAGAGATCTATTACGCAAGCTGGAAATGGTGCAGTAGCTAACGTTATGACAATAGCATGCATGTTAATTGATTTGTGGATGTTCGAAAAACATAGTTTCAGAGGCGACACAGTTACTAACGCGAGTACTTTATTTTATGACTAGCATTGCCCGCGGCTCCGCCCGCGTTCAAATGACCAAAAAGCAAATTCTTAGGTTTTACATATTAGTATACTCTTTCATATGTTATATATCATTGCTGTTTTTGTATTTTTTCTCAGAAATGAGATATCTTCCCGCGGTAAAAAGTCCTATGTGTTGACCCGGATAACCAGCTATCACTATACCAAACATCAAAATCCTCCAATTTTTCTGTGATGCGGTAACAGACAGACAGACAGACAAAAATTCTAAAAACTATAGATTCAGCATCTGTATCGATAATAATGTCTATTTCAATAAGATTTTCCAAAAAAAATATTTAATGTACAGATTCGGCTTAGTTACAATTTTATTATATGTATAGATTTCAAATTTTTCTCCCATCTTACTTGGACTTGGACAAAAATCTTAAGGCCGTTACGTCACAGAACCAGAGCCGTCATTCAGTCTAAGATACCACGAATACCTATATTTTATCACTGTCATAATAGTATAAAAGTGCATTGGCCTTTGTATTTACTTTGTTACATTACATTGTAACTTATTAGTTATTACAGTTGTTAAATCGTGATGTAGAAATATATGTATATAGTTTTCATAAATATATTATTTAAGTTATTCTTGAATTTGTAAAATACGAATTCCTTCATTAGGTACGTGACCTGTATAGGAAATATGTAAGACCCTTACATTAGGTTCTGATGTTTTTTAAATTAAAGTATTTGTACAGTTGCTTAAAATACTAATATTGTATAGTGTTTTATCCATACTAATATTATAAATGTGAAAGTATGTTTGTTTGTTTATTAGTTTGTCCTTCTTTCATGTCAAAACGGAGTGACGGATTAGCGTGATTTTTTGTGTGGAGATAGTTGGGGGGCTGGAGAGTGACATATTTTTTACCGCGGGAGATTATCTCATTCCCACGAGAAAAACTTGAAACTTGGTATTAATGTTTTTCAATACAATTGAATAAATACGTGTTTTAGCATTTTTCGAAATTAATCCTACCTTTTTAGAGCTTTTTTGTAGTTTTAGCGCAAACGAAGCCGCGGGTTCTGCTAGTAGTTTTATAAATGAGAGTGTGAAATATGCACAAAAGAAGGTGAAACCTAAGCCATAGTTTATGATGCGTTATACGTTCGATGAGTTTTCTGACTTTTGAGACAGATTTGGGGTCTAGCGTATGCTCAAATACTGCATTTATTGTTTAAAAACGATATCTAGTGACAGTTCTGTCTAGTGACAGTGTATCTAAAATTTTATAAGTTTCTAAATATTTTAATAAACATTAGATATAACACCAAATTCAATGAAAACCAATTCTAAAAAATAAAGCTTGAAATTGTAAAACATGAAAAAAAAATGATTATTCGATATTTCGTTTCTATTAATAGAATAGAGTAAATGTATAGCGTTTTCTAAATATATGACTGTTCCAGAAAGGGTTTAAAATAACATCATTTCTTCTGTTAAGAATCATTATACATGTTATAAAAATCTTAAAAAGTTAAAGCACGAGAAGCCATTGCGCGTCTTGAATTGAATTACGTCAGATAATATTTGCACCGTTTATTTTTATTTCTTGAACTCTTAAGTGACTTTTTTCTATTATTCATATCAAATTTATTGCAGTAAATGCTAATAAATCAGCCATTGTTGTAGATAAAACAAATGATTCACACTTTTGCGTAACGAACATTGAAAATTATTCTAGAAACAGGATAATATAGAATTTTGTTCAAAAATAAAACACCATACTCCGTAATATTTGATCGAATTTTAATATCGTTTGATTTCATTTAATTGAAATATGAAACTTTAATTTATAAACGTACAATAGGTAATATTTTAGTAATAATTCGGCAACTTTAACGTCCCATCGTTGGGCATGGGTCTCCCTACATACGAGGATCAGGTCACAGTCCACCACGCTGGCTGTTGGGTTATTGGACTTCATATGTCCTTGGAAAACTAGTTAGGTTTTCTTAGACTTGCAGGTTTTCTCCTGATGTTTTCATTCACCGTAAAGCAAGTGATGATCATATTAATATGATTCGTATTGGAATTCACTTCAGTTGGTCCAAGCGGCGTGTTACCACAGAGCAACCCAGAACTGCCCAAAAATTACAATGTTTACTTATACTATGGTTACTATCACCCTTGCGTGCGTGTTTCTATTTAGCCATGAATCACTTAACATTGACCTTGGCTTTGTATGAGACATGAATGCGCGTAAAAAGGTGAGGTTGAATTTGAATATAAAATGTACTCTGCGAATTCAACATCAATTCAAATAAAATTAACTTTATTCAACTAGATTTTTATAAGTACTTAAAAAGCATCAAGGTTAGCTATGCAATTTTGTCATTATTAGAATAGATACTATAAAGTGTATAAACCTATATATTTAAACGGTAGCGACTCACCCTTGCTTCGCTACATTTGTCCCTACGGTTGATTCCCCATACAAACTTTCATCCCCATTTGATTAATCCCCATGGAGTTAATTTTTTGGCTAATCTATACCTAAAATAAAGAGGAAAGATTTGATTTTTTATTTGTTTGTTTGTTTATACTGAATAGGCTCTATAATAACTACTGGACCGATTTAAACGATATTTTGGTAAGAAGATAATTTGAAACCCTGGAAAGGACATAGGATAGTTTTTATCCCGGAAAAATGTACGGTTCCCGTGGGATAGATTTGTTTCTATTTTTCTACAAACGAACCCGAGCGAAGCGAATGTGAGCCGCTAGTATTTAATAACTTAATCCCATAGATAAAGATGCCTGAAGATATTGCAAATAATTTGGAATTCTTGAGAATTAAGAAACTATCTTCTTTCACTTTCTCAACTTTAAAAGGTTACGCATTTTTTTTTTTTTTTTTTAATTAAAAATAGGCTCACTCTTGACCTTCATCTTACTTTAATTGTATAGATAAGGTCTATGATGTACCGAGTTTGCCCAGGAGAAGCCTGTTGACACGCACCTTAAAAAGTTTCAAGTTGTACGCTCTCGGAAAAACAGACGCAGGCAGGGCATTCCATTTCTTGGCTGTGCGCAATATAAAAGATGATGAATAGCGCTTAGTGCGAGTGGTCGGCATTAGCTATATTTGGCAAAACTTTAGTAGTAATGAAACATCATTTATATTATTTAAATATAAATTTTCAGCGTGGCTGGGTGTGTGAAAATGCAGAATATGCTCCCCACGCACAAACGATATTCTTCACCGGATCTTTAACTGGCGGTATCTTCTTCGGATGGATGGCAGACTACTATGGCAGAGTGCCTGCTTTGGTTGGTAAGAATTTATAAAACTTAGATAAATATATGAATATTTACTTAATTAATGCTTGTTATCAACAATTTACTCTAAAGAAATACTTATAGGTACCTCAAATAAAAGAACGTAGTAAAGTCGATGGCATTTCATTGATAAATTTATAATCAAAATACTTATTAGTTTAATATTTATATTATTCATGTTAATGGAAATGTGTTTATGGAATGTGAAAGGCATCAAATTAACGATTTTAGATTTTTTTTCAACCGACTTATTATAGAAATATCTACTTATAATTCCATGCCAATAGGGAATATGCGTATGATTTAAATAAAGGTGATTTTTTTTATTATAATCTTTATTTATTTTGAATTAAGCCTAAGTATACCAATATTTTTTAATGTAATTTCTTTTTGGCTTAGAAAATAATTACTAAAAAGTGCTAATATATTATATAGGTGGGAAATTCAAAGTAGTTGAAACGCACGCCATTGGTCAGACCGAATATGACGTCAAAGTTTTATCTTATGAGAGCGATTAGCGATTTTGTCGTTACAAACTAAAGTTGTCATTTGTCTATGTATAATACTGTGAGGTCACGCAAAGCGCGCGAAATGGCTGGCGTTTAAAATCCGTATCGGTATGGTATGTTTAAATTTTTTATAGGTACTAAATTTTAGTATTTTTGGAGCTGTATATTTTTTTACAATTATATAACGATGTTAGTTATTGTATAAAAATTTAAATAAATCACGCATATTCCCTATTGTAAACCAATTTTCATAATTGACCGTTTTCATACATCTCGAACCATGTCTCAATATATCTCTTTGGTCTCTTGAATCAAAGATAATAGGCATAAGGCTAGGTATACATGTGAATCTAATTTCAGGAACAAACTTGATGGCGTTGGTTGGTGGTATAGCCAGTATATACACGACGGGATTTTGGGACTTCGCATTTTGTAGGTTCATAGTGGGCACTGCTTATGATAGCTGCTTTATGGCTATGTATATTTTAGGTAAGATACATTATTTTAGTATATCTATACTAATATTATAAATAGGTAAAGTTTGTAAGTTTGTGAGGTTGTAGGGGTAATCTCTGGATCTACTAAACCGATTTAGACGAGGTAAGAAGATGGTTTGAGACCCGGGGAAGGATATAGGATACTTTTTATCCCAAAAATCATCCCTTAAAGGGGTGAAAATGGGGATGAACATGGGAATGAACTTTTGTATTGGGAAGCAAGCTAGGGACGAATCCGAACGAAGCGAGGGTGAGTCGCTAGTTTTTAATATATAAAGAAAATTAATCTAAAATAAAAATGTTTGCCTAAATATATACTTAAATGATATTATTATAAATGCGAGATATGTTTGTTAGTTTGTTTATCCTTCCGTAGCAACGGATTACCAATATTTTTTATAAAAAAATATCTTTATATAAAAAATATCACCTGATTCTGGATTCTTATTCTATCTAGTACATCAAATATCCGTGGCATTTTGTAGTAAGATTATATCAGTTAATCATGGTTTTTTCTTAGCACACTCTATGTTAAAGAAAACTTAATGGTACCACCTCGGATAGATATTAATAGAATACAATTTAAACTAACAAAATCCGTCCAGCCTTCTCTAAACACAAACATATAGAAAAACATACAGACGATCATAGAACCTCCTCCTTTTTAGAAGTAGGTTAAAAACTAAACTAAAAAGCATTTAAAATTTTTCAGTACTAGAATATGTAGGACCTCGATACCGTACATGGGTAGCAAACCTATCCATCGCTTTGTACTTTGGCGGTGGCTGTCTCATGCTGCCGTGGTTGGCGCTCTGGATGAGCGACTGGAGGAAACTGCTTTGGATTACAACTTTGCCCATACTTGTTGTTATTGCTGTGCCTTTTACTGTCCCTGAAAGTGCTAGGTGAGTTGCTAAAATGATTCCTTATTTAAAAAGATAAAAGATTTTTTTTCTATACCTAATAATAATTAAGTTTTACTAGAACATTAGTCATTTCAAAGTGATTATTTTTCCCTAAGGGTTTATTTTTAAGTTAAGTAATATACTCTTGTGGTTATTCTGTATATATTAATAAGTTATTTATTTGTTAGCTACATTAATTAAAAAAATAATTATATGAATCGCGATATATTGCGAAATATACAAAAAATACCGCCAAAATGGGTAAAAAGACAAAGGAAGCCATGTTTGTTTAAAAAAATGTCGTAAAAAATTTAAATACGTGTGTGTGTACTTATATACGCAAGTTAAAACAAGAAGTTATAATTCTCTGTCGTAACAGAACAAAAATAGCTAAAGATTTCATCCCGTAGGTATGTCACAACTCTCTGTTTGTAAAGGAATGCAGCTAACTTCATCATGTCGCCTTTTGGCTGTCGGTGTGCGCGCGCATCGTAAAAATTTTACTCTCATATTTTTTTCCAAACGTACCGAAATGTTTGAAGACATTTTTTTACATGTCATGTACATCTTCAAATTTGTATCAGGAACTTATATGCTATTCTTCTATTTTTCAGGTGGCTTTCATCCCGCGGCAGAGTCAATGATGCAGTAAAAGTGTTGAGAAGATTTGAAAAAGTCAATGGCACTAACATACCGGAAGACGTTATGGATGATTTTATTGTGAGTTTACGTTTACATTTCCTTTTTCTGAATTTAAATAATACCTAATATTATAGCTAAAAATGTAGTTCAACTTTAAACTTACTCAGTTTATCTTATTCAGTTTATTTCATTAATAATAAGTTTTCAGCCTAAAATACACACTTACTAGGGTATCTACAGATAATAATATTATAAAGAGGTAAAATTTGTGAGTTTGTGACGTTGTAGGGGGTAATCTCTGGATCTACTGAACCGATTTAGATGAAATTCGGTAAGAAGATAGTTTGAGACCCTTGGAAGAACATCATACCTTTTATACCGGAAATCATCCCTTAAGGGTGTGAAAATGGGGATGTATATGGAATTAAGCTAGAGACGAACCCGAGTGAAGCGAGCGTGAGTCGCTATCGTATTTTGATAAAATTCGATACAAAAAGTCCATTGAAAGTTAAGTTCTATATACATATTAGTAATTTATAAGCCAACATTTTCATTCATATCTCATCCTCATATTCCAGGTATCGGCAAGCCGGACACGTCAAACTAATGAGTCAATAAAAGATCTCTTCATGAGTGCTCCCTTAAGAAAGATGCTGATATTCATGGTAATAGTGTACATGGCCTGTGCAGTCATCTTTGACGGGCTCGTGAGGATGTCTGAGGGTTTGGGGCTGGACTTCTTTATCACCTTCACGCTGACCTCCGCGACTGAGATACCTTCGGTCACGTTGTTGGCTTTTGTATTGGACAAGTAAGTTTGATCAGAAGTTAACATTTTTGTTCTAGTATGTACTGAAATATTTGGTTATTTTTTTCGTTCTCCTCCATATTTTTTTTAAAAAAGAAACGTAAAAAACATTTAAAAATAAAATATATGCAATATGCATAGTGACCCTTTTTTTTTTTTTTTTTTTTTTTTTTTTTAACGTTGGGAAATGCATTTACGCACGACGTGTGGGACTCACCGGCGTAATACAGCCAGTACTACCCACTAAAACCCAACAAAACCTTCCCCCGTCTTAATGGAGCGTCGCAGGATCGCTTACGCATTCAACTACGACGCCCCGACGGCAGGTCTGCCGAAGCAGACCACCACAACCATGGGGTTGCTCCACGGTCCACTCTGCTATCAGAGAAGTACCACGAGCAACCCGCAAGGTACACCGCCCCACGAAGGGGGCCACCACCCACCGCCCACCGAAGTGGGCAACCTCCCTGTGCGTTTCTTAGCTTCGCGCCCGGTTGGATTGCCGGGCACTACTGAGCCCCCCCACCACGACAAGGTGAACGCACGTTGGGGGGGATGCATAGTGACCCTACTTGATGTGCCAGCGGTCGCGGGTTCGGGTCCACTGAGGGCATTGAGTGTGATGAATGTTTGTACTTCAATCATGGGTGTTTATATTTATAATATGTATATATTTAAAGTTATATACGCATTTCTAGTGTATCAACCTATTAGTGTATCAAATCTGGTATCCATAACGCAAGTCTCGTAGCTTACCATGGAACTAGATGGTGCTGTATGTTAATGTCCCAAAATATGCTACATTGTCTTGTATAAGTGTTTCTTATTTAAATATGTTAGTAATAAAGTACCTACTATGGATAATTTACAGATGGGGTCGAAGAGTGCTCACATGTGGGCCGATGGCTGTATCGGGACTGTTAATACTTATTGCGACAGTTGTGCCCAGAGGTAATTATATTATTTTACTAGGTTGGTTCCCCATACAAACTTACATCCCCATTTTCACCCCCTTAAGGGATGATTTCCTGGATAAAAAGTATCCTTTGTCCTTCCCAGGGTCTCAAACTATCTTCTTACCAAATTTCATCTAAATCGTTTCAGTAGATCCAGAGATTACCCCCTACAACGTCACAAACTCACAAACTTTACCTCTTTATAATATTAGTATACTTAGATAGTGTAAAATATATTAAACTCGCTTTGCTCGAGTGCGCTTCTAGGTGCCTAAAAGTAGCCTGCGTTACTCAAGATAGTCTATATAGTCATCATCATAGTCTATATGTATCTATATTTAATTTTACCCAAATGCGATGTACCCCAAACATACACAAAACCGAAACGCCAAATATCGCTAGTATATCGCTAGTATTGTGATAATAGTATTTAGAAATCCATACTAATATTATAAATGTGAGTGTTTGTTTGTTTGTATGTCCTTCTTTCATATCGAAACTGAGCGACGTATAGGCATAATTTTTTGTGTGGAGATAGTTGGAGGGCTGGAGAGTGACATAGGCTACTTTTTACCGAGAGAGATTATCTTATTTCTATGGGAAAACACATATGTACATCCCAAAAAAAAATTTATGATCAGAATTTTTTGAAATTTGGTATTAATACTCTTCAATACAAATAAATAAATGCATGTTTTAGCATTTTTCGAAATTCATCCCTTAAGGGGATAAAATAAGAACTATCATCGTTCTTATGAAAATTAAGTTTTTAGTGTTTTTTTGCAGTTTTAGCGCGAGCGAAGCCGCGGATTCTGCTAGTAAATAATAATTAAAATATTTTGCTACCACAGGTATACCACAAGTAACGCTGGCAATATTCGCGCGGTTCATGATCAACATGTCGTACAACGCCGCCATCCAGTGGTCGGCGGAGCTGCTCCCGACGCCGGTGCGCGCGTCCGGCTCCTCGCTCATACACGTCAGCGGGTACGTGTCCACGCTCGTGTCGCCGTATATCGTGTACTCGGTAAGTATCTCGTTGGCTAGTCACTAGTGTCTAGTGGCTAATATGTAAAAATATTAAGGTCATGGGTTTGAGACCCTATATGATACCTATTGTAGGTGATCTTTTAAGAAATTCTCAATAGCAGTCAGGATTTGGAAAGTTTACGGTGTTTCGTAACACATCGTTTTGCGCCTGATCTCTCACTTGTCGTGTTGAATCGTCGTCCCATCGGAATTTGGGAGTAAGAATAGAGTAAAACTCTCTGCACATACTTGTGCATAATAATATCTCGTAAGCAGATACTAGCCTCAGTAATATTAGTCGCTGTGACCGAAATCGATCAGAAAGACATTAAGTATTAAGGCTAACTTTTACATAAGTAATAATCGTATAATAACTGTGTTACTTTGAAACTACTTACATATATCTTCGAACTGAACAATACTATTTGCGCAATAAGAAGTGGGCAGTTGCGAAGGTCTTATGGCCGATTTCACCAACGCCAGCTAAGTTTAAGGGATCCCCTAAGCATGGTTAGGGGGTTGTTAGGGGACAGTTTCTGTTTCACCAACAGTTAGGGGTCACCTAAATGTTAAAAAGCCACCTAAATATAGGTATTAGAAATACGGGCTCTGACGATGGTAAAACGAAATTTAAATTTAGGGGCTAGTTTAGGGGACTTTTAAGCTAGGGATCCCATACTTAGGTGGTAGCTTGTGGATTGTTGGTGAAATCGGGCAGTAATCACTTGATTCCTAAAGTAATGTTCTTAATGTTCTTATTATTTTGTTACAGGAAAGAATTTGGAAAAGATTACCACTACTCATATTGGGACTAATAGCACTATTTGCGTGTACTGTGGGAATTCTGCTGCCAGAGACAAATGGAAGGCAGATGCCACAAACCATAGAGGAGGGCGAAAAAATCGTCAACAGTCACACATTATGCGGGTAAATTGAAAGAAATTTAATGTTGCCATATTTATGTAGACAACCGATCTGAATCTAATTAAAAATATATACTAATAAATACTTATTAATATTTACTAAATAATATTTTATATTTTATTAATATTTTTTAAACTAAAAATAATATTAATTTTTATGACTAACCAGTACGTGTCTAAAGCGACCATAAAGTTTTACTCTAACATAAACTCTTTTAAAAATATTCTTTGCAGTTTAATGGTTACCCTTAACTTGGAAATATGAAATAAATTATTCGTACCTTAAACCTTAAGACTCAATAATATAAAAACCATAATTAATTACTATATTTTTCCACAGAAAACCGGAAGATGTAGAAGAAAATTGCATTCAGGAGAATAAAAAATCATTAATCACCTAACACCATTTATTTTCTAAAGAAAGAAATAAATTCAGGAATCAAGCCGCCATATTGTGGTGAAGCCAGTGACAGTCTACTAAGGTTAAACAAAACTCACCTAAAAATGTCATACAAACAAAAATACTATATTATATAGTATTTATACATATAAATACAAAAAATGTGTACGTAAAATACGTAAAACGTACGTACGTAAATCACTTTTTTTTCTAATAATTATTAATTAGATCCAATTATGCAAAAAACAGCCATGTGCGTAAAAGTACCAACAGAGTTATAAGCATTTTATTATAAAAATAAACGATACTTATATAAATATCGTTCAATTTTAAAATAACCTGAAAAACAAAACAACCCAAGTGCAACTATCGACAGAAAAATGCTTATAACTCTGTTGGTACTTTTACGCACATGACTGTTTTTTGCATAACTGGGTCCAATTATACAAATCAATTTATGGAGTTAAAATATTATCTGTGTAAGAAAACTAGTTGTTTTTTTCGTACTTTTAATATATTAATATAGAAAAATATGAGCAAAAGTACGTGTACGTACTTACTATTTAATATTAATCTCTATGATATTTTTATGATAAATTGAAAATAATTGGCGTTTAGAAATCCCCATAAAGGCAAAACGCAGAGCTAACTTCGATAACATAACGTATACTCTACAGCCTCTATCTATATACATATAATAAAATTGTAACTAAGCCGAATCTGTACATTAAATATTTTTTGGAAAATCTTATTGCAATAGACATTACTATCGATACAGAGGCCGAATCTATAATTTTTAGAATTTTTGTCTGTTACCGTATCACCGAAAACCACTGGAGGGATTTTGATGAAATTTCGTATGGTGATAGCTGGTTATCCGGGTCAACATATAGGATACTTTTTACCGCGGAAAAATACCTCATTTCTGAGAAAAAATACAAAAACTGTATTGTAAGAGTATACTAATATGTAAAACCTAAGAATTTGGTTTTTGGTCATCTGAACGCGGGCGGAGCCGCGGGCAATGCTAGTATGTCTATAAAATACTTTTAAAGTAAAGAGGCGCTAGGGAAATTTAATCCTTGTTAATATTAAAATAGAGTTCAAAATGATGAATTGCTCCTCTTCAATACTAATTGTACTGTCTAATAACTCCAATGTACATGGTACAATGATATCGAAGAACATTAAATGTTTACAATATAAGATTTATTTCATAAGCTATTTAAAATAAAAGTGTTGTAATAACATTTACGTCTGTGATAAACAAATCAATTCATAATGTCGAATTTTAAGTTTTAATAAACTCTCAGACTAAAGAATTATATAGATGGAGCCAGGCGCGGATCCAGAATTAAATTGGGGGGAGGGGTTGGGCGGGGAGGGGGTCAGAGCCTGAAATATACATATAATAAAACAGTAACTTTAAAAATAATGACTGTAACCAGTATAGTGTACAGAATATAGAGCCCAAAACAAAAAAATTATTTGTAAGTCTGTTTGTGTGTTTCACTCAAACAGTAGTAAACCGATTTTAACCAAATTTTGTGTAGTGATAACTTTATTACTCGGGTCAACATTAAGGATGCTTTATACTACAGGAAAATCTTTATTCCCACGGGAAAACACAATAACGGGCTCTATCAAGTCGTCCTTATAAATTTACATGGCTAACGGCCCGACCACGATCATAGAGCCCGCTAAAAAAAATATTAAAAAAATGTCAAAGTCAAAGTAGTGTGTTTCGCTGTATATGCTACTATTCTCGATTTTGTCATACCTACATATTACGTTACGTTTACTTTATTCAAAGCGGATTTTTCAGAAAAATATGAATAAATGCGGAATAAAATATGAATAATAAAATTAAATTATATTATTTTGTATTTTTTAAGGATTATTTCTCTTCTCCTAGAAAGAGAGATTTTTGTTTAATTCTATGACACTGTCTTTATTATTCCTTAGTCTGAGAATAAACTATAAAAAATTATGTAATAAAATGTACAAATAAATATAATTATACTAAGATCTATTATTTTAAAGTAAATTCAAAGAAATTATTTTAATTTGAGATTCTAATATGATGAGATGTTGACGACACGTTTGGCTCAATTTATAATGACCTAGTAGTACTTGCTCTGCCAGCGGTCGCGGGTTCGAGTCCCGCTGGGGGCATCATTTGTGTGATGAGCACGAATGTTTGTACTCCAGTCATGGATGTTTATATTTATAATATGTATGTATTTAAAGTTATATACGTTTAGTGTATCAACTATCTGGTATCCATAACACAAGCCTCGTAGCTTACCATGGAACTAGATGGTGCATTGTGCTAATGACCTAATATATTTATTTTTATTTATATATTTTAATATAAGAATGCAGTGAAGTTAATAATTAAGTATAAAAAAACATTGATATTAACAAAAAAGAATAATAGTTTTATGACGCCATTATAATTTATGTCTTGTATTTTTATACACTGCCAGTCATTTAAATTTCAATAGGTTTCTTAAGTAAAATACTTATTATAAATTTTCTCAAGATCTACTTAATGAATGCAACAAACATTTTACTGTTTACTTTTATCTACATTGTTATGAAATATATGTTTTATTTCATTTGTTGTTTTATTTCCTCTGAAAATATGTCTTACTACAAAGAGATTCGTATATTTTTTCTGTGATAGCTGGTATAAGCTTCTGTAAACAATAATACTGCTATTTAATTTAAGAATAAAAAGAAAAATATGAGATTGAAATATCTCCATTTCTATAATTTTCTATAGAAAAATAAGTGATACCATTAAAATTGACGATATCAGAGAAAAAATTATAATAATAAAAAAACATTAATGACATTATTTTACTGCTGTGCAATTAATTCGAAAGAGAGGGATCTATGTAGTGGACTGGTATTTTTTCTGACAAAATATATTTTTTAAATCATAAAACATATTAACAAACACGACAAAGGGGGGTTTGTCACCAAAAATTTGCTCCAGGCTATTTTTAATTAAAAACAATTTTTTTTAAGTACAAGAACTCTGTGATAACTAAATATCAGACTTCTAGAAAATGCTATATACAAGCGGTCAAATCATAAACAAAAATCCCTTTAAAATAAAAAAAAGCCACAGATTCAAACAAATATATTTATTTACAATCAATCTATTCACGACTGTTTGATACTCAAATACATCTTCCCATTGATGTTCTGTTTGTCAGGGTTGATCCTCTTGAGTATCTGGGTCATGGTCTCGACGAGGCGGTCGGAGCTGACGCCGGTGCGCTTGGACTTGAACTTGGTGAGCAGTTCCGTGGTGGTCATGGGCTTGCGCGCGAGGTACCGCCTCACTGCTTCCTCCGTCACGCCGCACTCGCTGGAAACGTGTTCATTAATCATTAGTTTTATACTGTGAAATATCTTTATATTTCCACTAACGACTCACTTTCTCTTCGCTCGGGTTCGTCACTAGTTACGTTTTAACGGTTAGTAAAGATTCTTAGAGATGAGATATTTTCCGCAGTAAAAAGTATCCCCTATGTTGACCCGGATAACCAGCTATCATGATACCAAATTTTATCATAATCTGTCCAGTAACAGACAGACAAACAGACAAAAATTCTAAAAACTATAGATTCGACCTCTGTATCGATAATAATGACTATTTCAATAAGATTTTCCAAAAAATATTTAATGTACAGATTCGACTCGGAACTGTACAGATTAAAAAATCAAAATGGTAGATTCTAGTTTCTCGTCAACTTGTTCTCATCTTGTTCCCCTTTTACGCAGTCGGTTTTTTTTTATTTTTGTAAATTATATTTCATAGTTATTGCAGATACTCACGTGTAGGCGGGGTCGAGCTTGGGGCGCTTGGCGGGCGCGTGTCCGGGCGCGGGCACCGGCGTGCCGGCGCGCGACGTGCTCGCGCTGCTGTTGCCTGGGAGTAATAAAACACCCACACCATTGATATATAAAAACTTAAAGATACACAATTAGCGTCTCAAAAGTGTCCTCAAAAAGAAGTGCACAATTCAAAATTGAATTGCGCTTTTTTCTAATCTCTTTTGTTTATTGCTTTTCCGATGGCAAAATTAAAAAACACGTTTTTTTCGTTTAAAAAAGTACTTTATGTGGTGTGCATAAGATCGAATTTGTCTTTAGACAATTAGAACTTTCGAACTTTTTAAAGAGATTATTGTTAGGAAATGTGTGTTTATGTGCTTATATATCATTAATTATCCATTCTTTAAAAGTTAAATAGAAGAGTCTCTACAGCTCGGACATTTTTCATCGACATTGACATTTAATGCAAAAAGAAATTCAAATCGAATTAGTAGGTCCTGAGATTAGCGCGGTCAAACAAACAAATAAACTCTGCCTCTTTATAATATTAGTACAGATATATTACTTATATTACTAATGATAATGTTGAAATTTTAACTAAAAAGTAAAACTTTCTTAGATTTACGCGAATACTTGACATGTTAAATAAAACTATCTTTTCGGATTTTGCGCGAATTTTTTTTTTGATTTTTGGTTTCGACGTTTCGATTTGACTCTCCCGTGACCATGATTGCTGTAAAGCATTCGAAACGTCGGGAACCAAAAATTAAAATAAATTAGCAAAAATATCCGAAAAGATAGTTTTATTTAAAATAAAAAGTAAAACATATACATATACAAACCATTTTTAGTGGCACTTGGTGGGTTCTTGCCTTCCGCAGTTCCATTCTTGCTCTTCTTTGGTTTCTTGGAGCTACTCTCTTGGTCAGTGTCTGAGTCTGAACTGAACTCACTGCTCGAATCTGTAATATACAAACACAAATTCGTTAAAATTTCTAATAAGCCACATTCATTTTTAAACTCAAATTATACTAACAAATAATACATATATACTATTCAGATTAATTGACTTAAAATAATTTTAAAAAATATCTACAAACATGGCAGTTAACTTGTTGTGTTTAACTGCCTCGGTGGTGAAGGTTACAAACTCGGAGGTTCTGAGTTCGAATCCCGGGTCGGGCCAAGTTTAATCACTGAGTGTTTTTGTTAAGATATTCTCAGTAACAGCTCGGAGTTGGGAAGTTGGCGGTGTATCACCTCCGTGCCAAGGCAGAGCACGTGACAGTGCCTGCGCGTATACTTGAGTACTATAATATGTCCTGCGCAGTTGGCTAGTCTCACTGAAATTGGCCGCCGTGGCCGGAATCCGTCTGGAGGACATTATTGAAGTGAAACTTCTTTAGAATCGTTGAGATTTGAAACCCGATGAAACGGAAATGCGACACTAAAAAGAGACAAACACATAAATATATATGATTAAGCCGGCGAGAGAATGAGATAGAATATATTGCTATGTGCCTATGGTAAATGTTGTTATTGTCTGACAAATATATATTATATTCTTTCCGTATATGATATTCTATAAATATATGATTGTAATATGCGTTATTTAATTATAGATTTGTTTTAATTTAACTGCGATATTTGCCAAAGAAGTTTAACTTCAACCGCGCGTAAAGGTTACATGCACTCATTTTTTTTTATCTGTATCTTGAATAATGCTTTCCATATATTCAATACTCACATAGAATTAGTACATTTAAGTCAAAGAAGATAAAATTACCTTTTTTGTTCTCATCGGGCTTCTTCTTCTTCTTCGTGAGTTTGCTGGCGCGTTCTTCTCCGTCTTTTGTAGGCTCATCCTCTTGCTCCGACTCCTGCTTCTGCTCTTGCTCCTCTTCACTGTCTTCGTCTGACGTTAACAGTTTCCTAAAAAAAGGAGAAATATAATCTATAACTTATATATATAAAAAGGGATGTGTGTATGTTCCCTATGGACTCCCAAAACGGCTGGAGCGTTTTTGATGAAATTTTCAGCCAATCTTCAGATTAGCCCAGCGGGTGATCCTGTGGAGCTTGGTAGCGATCGGAAGTGTGATAGGACAAAGCTGCGGGAATTGCTAATATTACATGAAAAAAGTACTTTTGCATTTTCAATATGATTACCAGTTGTCTTACGACGAAGGAAATCATAGTGAGGAAACCTGCATATCTGAGAGAACCTAGCAAGTTTTCGAAAGACATGTGAAGTCCGCCCCGCACTTGGCAAGCGTGGTGGACTATGGCCTGATCCCCTTCGTATTGAAGGGAGGCCCACCTCCAGCAGTGGGACATATATGTAAGTCACCATCTCGAGCGGTCTAACTTCTACTATTAACTGTTTTTTTAACCGACTTCCAAAAAACAGTAAGTTCTATATTCATCTGTATGTATTTATATATTTTCTCTTAAAATAAATTAACGATACTGGCAACAATACAAACCTCAAAGCGTCTTCTTCCGCAACTCCCTTTAACTCCTTGTTCGTTTTATTCTCGTGATCGGATTCACTGAAAAAATAACAAATTACAATTACATTTTACTTCTTACATTTTCCCTTAACATAATTTAAAACTTCTTATTCCATAATCAATGGTGTTATTCTATTTTAAAATTTGTGGTATTTTAAATACTTTTTGTATGTATATTATACAACACTAATTACGTTTTAAATAGATAAAAATAGTTATTGCGAGTGTACTTTAGGAGATACATATTATTGCGGACTTTTCTGTAGACCTTTTTACGACCTACAATTTTCTAATACATTGTTTTGATGTATCTCTTTAAGGTTTATCCAGCGTTAGACATGTAAATTTCTAACGACGACTCTAAGGATTTTTTTGTCTGTTGACCCTGTTGAAGAATATAGAGCCTAAAGGGCCTACATTCTTCAAAGTAAAATGGATAATGTAACTATAACTTTCTTAGTTTAACGCGAATATTTGACATTTTAAATAAAACTATCTTTTCGGATTTTTTCGCGAATTTATTTTGATTTTTGGTTGCCGGAAAATTAATGCTTTACAGCAATCATGGTCACGGGAGACACTACATAAATATCTCGTGTCATGGTGTTTGTAGTCGCACTCCTCCGAAACGGCTCGACAGATTTTAATGATATTTTTTTCGTATATTTGGTAGGTATGAGAATAGGTCGTAAAGTATTCTTCACTCTTCTACGGTTACTTTTTATCCCTGAAAATTGTATGGTTCCCGTAGGATACCCATGCTAACCGTTAATTATAATTACCTTTCAGATGAGTCAGATATATAGTCCCTTTCTCGGCCTTCTTCATCTCCATCATCACTCTCTTCATACGCTTCGTCTTCTACTTTCTTCTTCTTCTTCGGTGGTGCTAAAAATATGAGTTTTATTAAGATTAATTTTTAATAAATATAAGAACTCATAAGAAACTATGTATATCACTTTTCATTGTATAGTTAAATTTAACTAAGCCAACTACAATTTTTTTATTAAAACCTTTAGCGCAAACAAACATACACATACAAACCACGCTTTTATTTTTAATTTTAAATATGTCTTTTGAATATATTAGGTTTTTATAGGGAATATAAAAACGGTGTTGAAATAGTGAACATGAACATTGATGCGAATCAAATAATTTTTTTTTTAGTAGTACCTGAGCGACCGAACTTCGCTCGGCGTTTTAGCATCGTGTTTTTTCGGAATAGATGTAAAAATTGAGTTTTTTTTTAGAAAAGGCACCTATAAAGATAAACTAGTGAAATTCCATAGAAATTACTATTTTTCGACGCCGCAATGCATACGTAAAATAAAACATCAAAAACTATACATGTAAACGTCTTCAGTTTTAATTTTAATATTTTTATTTACATTACAAATCCCAAAAATACACTAAATTATTATGAGTCAATAAAATACACATTTCCTAAAAACATCACTTTAAGAAGTGACGTGGACATGTGATATTAAGCCAAACCAAAGAATGAAATTCAAAAATCTAAAGTTTTAATTGTCTGAACTCAAATTCGAACTTATTCGCATACTACATAAAGTAATATTTTAAATGAAACAACGTACGTTTTAATCCAACCAGCACGAACTAAAAAGATTTGTAAAAAGCGCAAAATTTCAAAACGTGCACTTCTTTTAGAGGGCACTATTGAGACGCTAACAGTGTATATTGACTTTTTGTATATCAAATATGTGAGTCAGTCACCTTTTTTATTCTTCTTCTTCTTAGTTCCAGAATCACTGTCTTCTTTCTCTTTGTCCTTCTCCCCGCCCTCTGAGTCCGACGACTCGTCGTCCGAGTCTATCCATTCGTCCATTTCTGATATCTTGAGATCTAGAAAGGTATATGTCTATTAATGGTTATCTCCTCGATACTTTTCGGGCTTACCATTTTGTTAATATGACTTTTTTAGTATATTAACTTGGATGATCGATTACGAACCGTGTCCGTCTGGACAGCGGAGGCACCCTTCGGGTACGGAACCTTAAAGCGGTGGCAGTGTCAGTTGAATTGCAGAAGTTAAGCGAAGATAGAGAAGAAGAAAAAATCCAAAGATTTTTTCGAAAAGAAACAATTCAAACAAGTCAATTAATTGATAGTGTTATATAGCTGGGTAATAATCTGTGACTAAATTAAATCGGTCCTGTTAAAAATGTCTCGTGTTTGTAAAAAGCTTTATAAAAATATTCGTTATATAATATTTTCTAGCAGATATAACAACAAAAGTCATTTCCAGATATAAAAATACAAAGTCAAATCCTTTAGTAACCTTTCTTAGCCTTGGAGTTTTTGGTCTTCTTCTCGTCGGGGTCTTCCCCGTCGTCGGCGGCGTCGTCGCCGCGCATGCGCTTGCGGAACATCAGCGAGAAGTAGTTTATTACTTTGTTACGTCTGAAAATTATTATTATCATTTATATTACTATTATATTATAAATACGAAAGTTTGGATGGATGGATGTTTGTTACTCAAACACGCCAGAACGGCTGAACGGATATGGATGAAATTTGGCACAGAGATAGATTATAGTCTGGAATAGCACATAATAAGTAATAATAATAACGTCCTCCTGATCAATTTTGGGTACGTCGGCCAATCTCACTGAGACTAGCCAACAATCACTATCAAACAAGACACTATCAGCTCTTTTCTAGACGGTTAAATAATATGAGCAACTTCCACAGATTTAATCGATTCGAAACTAGGTATCCCATTACTTTAAAGACATAATGATATGACAAACTTAACTTGATATAAAATTTATATTGGATTTTAATGCAATAAAATTAACATTTAATGCCTAGGTACGTTAAAAGTAAACGAGCTAACCTTCCAAACTCCTGCTCAGCTTCTTCAGCAGATAGAGCTTTATAACGTTGTATGGGTTGGAAATTATACCTGAAAAAAAGTTTTTTTATATAATAATGACATATTACATAAAACTATCTTTTCGGATATTTTCGCGGATTTATTTATGGATAAAGAAATAAGATAGTTGCTTAAACACAACTCAGTATTCGGACATATTTCTTTTATACTTATTTATATTCTGCATTTATAAAAATACAAACATTATTTAAAAAATGTCACGCTTTAATCTGAAATAAAATAATACATTTAAACCTTCTTGGTTTCAACTTTTAACTTACCATTCTTGCAATGGATAAGCATCAATGGCGCCATCATCAGCATGTGTGAATACATAGTATGCAGCATTCTCTGAGACACCACCCTCTCTAATACCTTTGAATCTAAAACGAAATATTTAATGTTTATTTACTTATGAAGTTATAAGTTCAAAAATAACTAAAGATTTCATCCCGTACGTCACGACTTTCTGTTTGTAAAAGGAATGCAGCTAACTTCATCATGTCGCTTTTTGGCAGTCAAAATATTTTCTCTCATTTTTTTTCAAACTTCCCTAAAGAAGTATAACTTCAAAAACTTTCAAGAACGAATTCCATTTTTAAAAGTGTTTTAATCTTTACTAATGTTATAAGGAGGAAAGAATTTTTTGTTTATTTGTTTGTACCAAATAAGTTCCGAAACTACTGAACCGATTTAGATGAAATTTGCTAAGAAGATAGTTTGAGACCTTGGGAAGGATATAAGATAATTTTTATCTTAGAAATCATCCCTGAAGGGGGTGAAAATGGAGTTGAAAGTTTGTATTGTGAAACAACCTAGGGAAGAACCCGATATAAAGAAATTACCAATAAAGTGAATTTAGGATCAGCGAAACTGTTGACAACACTCAATTTAGGGTATGTATAAAGACACAATTATTAAGATTTGTAACTTTTGTACTTATTTTAAAGGGGTTTGGTCACAGAGGGATCATTCCACCCCTATATGAATAAGAAAACATAATTAAAACAACTTACAATAATCAAACTTAGCTAAACTTAAACATTCATGTCTTAATCTGACTTATACTACTTTATAGAACATTCTATACTAATCCAAGGCAGGATAGACTTGAATGCTGTTGAAAATGAATGTATGTAATGAACTATAATTAAGAATTAATTATAAAAATACCAACAAATGTTTGATGACGATTCATAAAGAAACATACTTTTTTCCAGTCTTTCCACCAACTTTTAATATCCAGGGCTGGTCTTCTGGTTTATATTTACGAGAGATTATACCAAACTTTTTACGACGTGCCTCTTCACGCATATCACGCCCATACTCTGAACCAGCACCATATCTGTAATTAATTATAATAATTTAATAGAAAAATTAAATTAAATTTATGTAAACTGCTTAAAAAATTTAAATATATTAGGCTGAACTACTGAAACAATAATAAAACCCTCTTATTTATAGACACTAACACATTAACCTACAAAATTAAAAATTCTTTGAATATATCTCCAACTTCTTCATTCACTACTGAATCACGCTCCCCTTGGCTTCGTCCCCAGGTAAAAAAATTAACAGTTAGTATAGATTTCTGTCTCTGTATAGATAATAATGACTATATCAAATATTTTTTGGATAATATTTCAATAATATTATCCAAAAAATATTTGATGTACAGATTTGACTCAGAATTTTATTATATGTATACATATAATAAAATAATCTATAGATTAAATTCATTTATAAGAATAGAGATTAACTGTATTAATAAATGCAAAACAACATAACTGTTAAAACTTTTCTTATATATTCTCTTCATTATTGGCATTATAGCAATTACTTTAAAATAAGTCATCTTAAAAATTACTTTACTACAATTTACTTAGGCATTTCTTCCTCAACTCCTTTAAACTCCTTAATATTGTTCTCTCTTTCCATTTTAACATGAGTCCAATTAGCAAAATCAACATTAAGTGTGGCATTAAACCTCATCACATGATATTTCTTCTTTACATTTTTCGGTACTCTAATTTTGAACTCTTGGACTGATGCTGCTGGTTGCTAAAATAATAATAAGACAATTTGTTTTAATATTTATAGCTAAAATTGGCATAATATAGTATACATATTTTAATGACAAAACATACATCTACATTTGGGTGCATATTGCACATTCTGCAAATAATATCTCATAAAAGATGTCATACATATTTACTTTACAAGGACACAGGGACATTGAACTTTATTTGTAGTTGTATTTCATATAAGGAAGCCTAAAATATATTTATTATGAATTTGTGTTTAATTATGAAAATGTTTAATCATTTCATTCGTGGTATAGTAATACAATTTAGCAATCTCTGAACAATATAAAAAATACTAGAAAAAGAAATTGCTCCCGTGGTAATTAGCATTTGTTGGAAAAATAAATATATACAACAAAAGTACGTACCGATGTACCAGGGGTTGACATTTTATTCATTTTGATAGGTTTCATTTAAATATCACTATTATAATTAAAGAAAACTTAAAAATTTATTACGTCGTCTAACTGATCTTATTTACATTACATATTGTTATATTCAATTAATATTTAATTTTATTTGACTCGACAGTTGACTGACTAAACTTCGTGCTTGGCAAAATGCGTTAAGATTTTGCTTATCACTAGAAAGTAGAAACCTGAAAGGTGGCATAAAAACACTAAACAGACTTAACCATAGTTAACACAAACTGTCTGTTTTTATGAAATAAAGAAGTTTCTTTCCTAAATAAATATCAATTGTTGTAAAACTGTCCTCGTTTAAATCAATTTACTATATTAATTACATTATTCAAATTACTCTTTTAAGTAACATTTTTTTAGAATTTAACAAGCATTAACCAAACACTTTTTTCAACAAGTTGTTGGAAAATGGAAATCACAGACTGGAAATTAAATTTAAGTTAGGTACAACGTTAATCTATAATTTATCAGAGTAAAAGCATATTATTATGATGTATAGTATTTTAATATTATAAATCATTATTATATACTATTTTAACAAGTAGTTTTCTGAATTAATCTTCAAAATTTAATTAGATTACTTTAATGTTCTATAATTTTTATACTTTTAACTGACATAGTGTAGATTTATTGTTATTTGACGAAAACTGATGCTTATTTTCTCACTATTATTGAATGCAAACTTAAATTAAGTAACTGCTTTAATATCACAATCAATTTGTAAAAATATCCTAGACAAAATGCTACTATCTCCCTACCTACCACTAATAATAATTATTCAAATAGCTTATCTGTTGCGACGTTGACATTGGTTTGTAGTTTGATACATTTATTTTAGTTTGACTTTGACATGAGTCAAAATCACATTTTATTAAAAACAACACTACTTTTACAAAAATTGTAAAATCTTTGTAAATTGTATTAAATTTATAGTATATCTTGCAATGGGTAAAAAGAAAGATAAGAATAAAGTCAGCGGTGCCGTTAAAACTGCTGCTAAAACAGAGAAAAAATTAGCAAACAAACTCAAAAAGGAACTTGCTAATTTAGGAGAGGTTAGTTCCTATGGTCCCCGGTTTTTATTGTAACGTAAATTACTAAAAATATGTTTCATTTAACGTAACATGTATATATAATTTATAAATTTATTTTATCATAGGAAGATATAGCAAAAGTAATTGCTCAGATAGAAAAAGAGGAGGCTAAACGTGCTGCGGCATCAGAAAAAACTTTAACTAAACCGCCTACTTCAAGAGCTTATGCTACTCTTACACCACACCCTACAAATAATGAACTTATCATGTTTGGTGGAGAGTTTCATAATGGACAACAAGTAAGTTTCTGTAGAAAATATTACAAATTATTAATAATATTTTTTTATTATTATTATTTTTTACTTCGATTCTATAATAGCAATTTCAAAAATAAGAAGTGAATTAATTCATGAATAATTTAAAAATACAAAAATTTGTTCCAGACTGAAGTTTATAATGAACTTTTATTCTTTAACCCTGTCAATGGCTCTTGGAGGCAAGTAAAAGCCCCAGGAGCTCCACCCCCCAGAAGTGCACATCAAGCTATAGCTACACCTGCTAATAAGTGAGTTTGTTTCCTATAGATGCAAAAAATATTTTATTTTTAATATTAAAAAGTTATGAATGTATATTTTTCAATTGAATTATATTCAATGAATTAGTGTATATTGAGGTGTATAGTTCTATATAGTTTCCTGCCCTGGTTCCTAAGTTTTAGAGAACAGAAACATTTTCATTTATAATACAACTGACTAATTCTACTAAATGTATTATATAATTTCTAGAGGTGAGCTATGGGTGTTTGGTGGTGAATTCACAAGTCCCACAGAAACTCAATTCCATCATTATAAGGACTTGTGGTGTTTTTCCCTTGCAGAAAAGAAATGGGAGAAAGTAAGCTTATATTCTATTATTTAAAAAAAATTGTTGTATTTCTTCTTTAATTGATGATTGCTCCATGTCATAAATAATATAAAAATATTGTTCTTATTAAAGTTTAAGCAATTATAATACAATTTACATTTTCACATGTAATGGAAATTTAATTTTAAGTACATAGTTAAAATTATTTGTATGCATCTACAAGTGTTAGTGCTGGAAAAAACAATATTTTTGGAAGTTATACTTCGTTTAGAATGTTTGAAAAAAATTATGGGAGTAACATTTTTTCGATGCGCGCTCACACCGATAGCCAAAAACTGACATGATGAAGTTAGCTGCAATCCTTTTAAAAACAGAGAGTTGACATTCGGGATGAAATCTTTAGCTATTTTTGTTCTGTTATGACAAAGAAGTATAACTTCTTATGTGCATACATTAGTACACACACACATTCTTTTTTTCTTAACCGTTAGCATTTGTGTATTTTATTTCTTGCCTATTTTATATTTTCCAGGTGGTAGCACCTAATGGTCCATCTCCCAGATCAGGTCACCGTATGGTTTTACTTGGGCGTAAGCTGTTCGTCTTTGGTGGTTATTGTGATGACGGACGAGAGTGTAGATACTTTGATGATCTTTACACATTCTGTTTGGACACAAGGCAGTGGGACAAATTGGTTGTGAGCGGGAGAGGGCCTTGTGCGAGGTCTGCATGCGTTATGCTACCTGCTGGGAATGATTCAGTGAGTTATATATAAATTATATATATATATTATGTGTTTTTAAGTTTTTATTTTAATGAAATAATATTATGTACATATCAACAATCATATTACTGTAAACAAAGTTTAAAACTACACATTTATGTAGATTTCACATATTGTTAGACAAACATGAGATAGAAATATCTGTCAAATTCAACATTCCTGTGAGTTTGAAACTTGAGACAATGACTGTTAATTATACTTAATATCTTTATGGACTTAAATATAAAAGGGTTACTATACATTTTTTTTTAAACTACAGTTTTAAAAACTGTATAAATATGCAAGATGAGTACGATTCACTTCACATATATCACTTAGAAATTGTTATCTCAAAGATATATTAGTTACTTTACTTAAAAAGTTCTATTATTATTAAAATTTTAGCTGGTCATATACGGAGGATTCTCAAGGGTCCGGGACGGGAGAACAGAGAGGACACAAACGCATACAGATATGTTCAAGTTGAGTTTGAAAGGCGCGAGTTGGTCGTGGCGCCCTCTGTCGGGGGGCAGCAGCGCGCGCGCCGGCCTCGCCGCTGCGGTGAACGTGCATAGCAACAGGGGTTATATATATGGGGGTGTTTGTGTGAGTATTAGGGCCTGTGCACACTGTGTTTTATTAACGCGTCGACATTATTGTGTATGTCTGAGCTAATTGATTTAAAAAAATAATTTGAAATACTAATACTATAAAAGATATCAATATAATATAAAAGATATAAATCTTTTCGCGGATTTATTTTGATTCGATCATCCGAAACCCAAAAATCGGGGAGGTTGGGAACCAAAAATCAAAATAAATCCGCTAAATAATCCGAAAAGATAGTTTTATTTAAAATGTAAAATATGCGCGTAATTCTAAGAAAGTATTATATTAAAAAATACAGATTGCTAATGTTTACATTAATACAAATGTAAGTATTTTCAAGTTCACTACATGTCGAAAAGTTGTTGTGTAGGCCCTTATGTTTTCAGTGTCTTGTGGTCTAGCTTTAGATCTGGAGGTCTTGAGTTCAAGTCCTCAGTCAGACCAAGTAATATTATAGCACAACATCAGGTGGATGAAGTTGGCATAAGACTTTAAGAGTGAAAATGATAGAGAATATATATATTTGTCATTAACGCCATTGTTATTATAAAGAGCATTCAGCATCAACACGATCGAACGACATTCGTTGACGATACGCTTGGCTCAGTTTGTAGTGACTCTACTTGCTGTGCCAGCGGTCGCGGGTTCGAGCGTAATGAGCACGAAGAATTGTACTCCAGTCATGGGTGTTAATATTTATAATATGTATGTATTTAAAGTTATATATGTGTATTGTGTAGTGTATCAACTATCTGGTATCCATAAACACAGGCCTTGTAGCTTACCATGGAACTAAATGGTGCTTGTGTGTTAATGTCCCGACATATATATTTATTATCAGTAGTTATATAAATAAGTAATCCGTTAACAGTAAATATTTACTTAATCCACAGGATGTAGAAGAAACAGAAGAAGAACTGAAAGGGGAGATGAGTGATGAGCTCCAAGTGCTAGACCTGGAGACGTGTCGCCTGCACCCAGTGCTGCTGCGGGCCCAGACTCAGACCGTACCCTCCACTCAGGGAGAGACTGCGTCTGCACAGCCAGACCCGAAGGATGAAAAGGCAGAGACTGTGACAGGTATTTTATTAGTCGATTTAGGTTATGGGTTTGTTTTAAATTTTGAAGTATTGGTCTTTTTCTTTGTCTTTGACAATGTTATGTTAGTGTTGATGTTTTTTATTGTTAAAAGGAATATATTATGTACATATATGGCATAATAATAGATTTTTTTCTTACACAAAGTTTTTAATGGAAACACAAGTGGATGAAGAGTCAGGTAAACTTGTTAATGGTATTTTTTTTAATTTATAATTTTTTTTGATAATGACCAAATAGCAATATTTTGTGTTTTCATATAACAAATTCTATATTAACGTGTAAGCTTTTATTCTAGGGTACATATATCCCTTCAGATGCGAGCGTTAAAAATTAAAATTTAACAAGTTACATGCATAAATGTATCTCTGTACATATAAAATTTTAGCTTCCATCGTCGTAAGACAAGCGGTAATCAAGTTGGAAATGATTCGCATATAAAAATAACAAAGGTGCGAGATCCGAATTTGAACTCGCTTCACTCGGTTTCCCAAGCGAGCGCGTTACCACCGGGTCACCACTGCCTTCAATTTACTGTATTTTAATTAAATTCACTTTTTTTCAGTGGTAACAGACGAAGTATTCACAATGAAGCTGGGCACAGCACAAGCTCCAGTTCTAGAAACTTCTCTAACAATCGCCCCTCGTGTAGAACATTCTGGGCCTAGCGCAAGGATGTCGGCCATGATGGCTGTGCAGCGGTCGGTTCTGTACCTGTATGGCGGAGTTTTGGAGAAGGATGACAAACAGTTTTATTTAGGAGATATGTATAGCTTGGGTAAGTTTTTGTTGTGTTATTTTATTTTTTAATTAACTTTTGCACGTGGCTTTCTTTATGTGAATAACGTATTCATTTCTTTTCTTTTAATGTTCTCCGGCAGCAATCAGTGTTGCCAAATAGTGCGTTTTTTTCTCAAAATATTGATTGCAAAATGACTTCAAATTAATTATTTTACTCTTATGTATTCTATCCATATTTTTTTAATCCCTCCACGACCGCGGACGCGCCGGCCTTACAGTTAACAATGGATTCTTAGAAATTTAATTAATTAGAAATTTACCTGGAGGTTTTAAATAAAAAGAATAATTTAAATTATGTTAAATTTGACGACTATCTATGTCCAGGCTATGTGCTAAGTCCAGGGCACAGAACCGGTTTAAAAAACGGTTCATTTCGGTAATGTAAAGGTTAATTTATCGGTCGTTCTTTAACCGGTTAATGAAAACGAACGGTTTAGTAAACCGAAATAATAATGGTTAACGTTTATTCTTCGAGAAAGGTTGGATTTCGGTTTTGATAGCGAAATAAACCAAACATAAAGTTAATTCATTCCTAAGTAAGAAACGTACATGTATCCTTCTACTAAGTCATTCACCATTAGCAAAGACGCACCAAAAGTAAACACATAAAAACTCATTTTAACTGGTTAATTTTCATCATGGAACAAAAATTCATCAACAACCGTTCTCCCGGATTTAACCAGTTAAAGTACGTAACCGCAACTTTAAACCGAAAAGCCTTTCGGTTTGAGGTAAATGACTAAAACTGGTTTAAAAAATTAACAGGTTTCCGAGCCCTGGCTAAATCTATGGAAAATATTTAGTCATTTATATGAACTTTCATATCTTAAATTAAGAGTTTAAAAATCTTTTTTCAGATTTACACAAATTAAACGAATGGAAGACAATAATAGAACAGCCGCCATTACCGGACTGGCTCGGCTCCGACTCGGAGGAGTACTCCGGCTCCGAGAGCGAGACGGAAGATAGCGACGACTCTGATGAGGAACAGAGATAGATATATACTTCAAGTGTTGAAACATATTTTAAATCTTATACTTAAGTAAGTAATCTATTTTATTATATCAGTGTTTAGTTTTATATAAAATGTAAATATAAGCAATAAATGATGAATTTTATGTTTCTTTTAATTTATCTAATTTATTTGGCGTATAACATTTTACATTACAATCAACTAAAAAAAATACTTTAACTTCACAGCAAACTAATACGTATAGTTATATATGATCTGTGCTAATACTTTATATTGGCCTTTGAGACGTCTATAACTTCAGTCTCTCCCGTGACCATGATTGCTGTAAAGCATTCGAAACGTCGGGTACCAAAAATCAAAACAAATCCGCGAAATAATCCGAAAAGATAGTTTTATTTAAAACATTCACATTATACTGTAACAATTTTTAAACATTTTCTTTTAAATAAAATTTTTTGTAGATAAGGATTTAAATGAAACAACAAATTACACCATCTTTTTATTTACATTGACTACATCGTAGCGCCTACATCAACTGTATATAAAAATCATTTTACCTACCGTTCGTTATACATTCAGTTTTTAACAATTTCATTATATCTTAAAAGGAAGTTTAGCAATTTCTAATTTTAAAGATTATCTGGATGTAAAGGAGCTAATTATTCTTATTTATTTTTATATTATAAATTAAAAAGATCATTTTTTTTTCATTTTATTACAATTATGTAAAGCACGAATCGTGAATAAAATTTTGATATTATTTATTAAAAACCTGGTAACGGTCTTGATCAATATTTTCATTTAAAAACAAATGTCTAAGTATCACCATTTTCGGCATATTAAAAAATTCTAAATGTGGCAGTTTCAAATAGGCAGTGTGAGACTTGATATTTCTACAAATTAAATGTTAATTGATAGTAATTTAGCAAACACTTTAAAATTTAATTAGTTTATTAAATGACTTTCATATTACTTTTAATGTACTAGGTGATTAGCATAGACATAGAGAGCGGACTGTTTCTTTACCAGGCGTCAGCGGAGAGAAGCGACAGAGACAAAACGAATGTGCGGCCAGGAGTCTTTTGTATTCATTAAAATACGAATAATGAAGATAGATATTTATAACCATTTTACATTCCATTCCAATGTTATAATTGTCAATAGTATATTTTTTTACATTTTAGTTATAAATTCAAATTAGAATAAAACACACATTGGTCGCACGTTCGCTTTCTCTCTTTCTAAAAAGTGGTCAATTTCATGACAGTATTGCTCAGTCCATACTCATAAGCCTAAGCTAAGCATAAGGTGTTTAGAGACCTATAGAAGAATACATAAGTCAAATTTCTTTAGTTAAAAAGTCATCCAGCATTTCAGAAATATGCCCCAGTCCTTAGAAGTCCATTACTGGTCGTATTTTGGCTTTGTTTACTACTGAGTTATAGTAATTATAAGTCATGAGCTTTATCTATTCTCTTCAATAATAACTTGTTAGAAATATATAAAAAAATATTAATATTTCAAATTACCTCGCAATTCCTTAACATTGTATTTTTTTAACTGATGTCAGAGTGACACAGAGTATAAAATAGACGGAGCATAACAAAAAACGAAGCCGTACTAAGCTGTCAATATCGGATATTACGTAATTCTAATATTAATTTTATTCTTCGCTGATGATGTTTAATCTTTATACAATACGGATTTTTTTCTATTTATCACTATATTTTTTTATTTGTGATTATAATATTACCACAGTATAAAAATCCATACAGTAGATAGAGACGAAAATCCCGCCAAATGAAAGGTAAAGTTGTCTTGAAATATTAATTTTCAAGGTGAAGCTAAAGCACTGTCATATAAGTGTATTTATGACAGAAGCGAGCCTCATCCGTGTCTTACGATTGTCTTGTCTAGACGTCTGTATAAATGATTAGACTGTGGCATTACTGGAAACTGCACTGTTCATTCAACTTCAAATTGCATCAAATCTTCCGGAGTATGGAAGAAATGAAAGCATTAGTACTATTAGCTGTTAAATTATAATACCATTTAAAGCTTCAACCATTGCTTTCTGTATGCTCCGTCTGTTATTATTTTAGTTAGAGTCATCAAGTTATATTTTTTGTAATATGAATTTGTTTAACATCTTTGAACCCCACCCATTTGCAATCCATTTCGGCAGTTGACGGTACCCTGTTATTATCTGTACAAAATCTAATTTATTACTAAATTTAATAAACATTTAAAATGTTACTTATGTATTTACATTGTTAATTAAAAGAAACTTATCAATGGCTATAGATTATATTTACGTATAAAAATAGCTAACTATTGATGTTAAATTATGCAGACTATTTTTTTTAAATATCTTTTATATTCATACATTTTAAAAGCATAGATTAATTAAATAGTTTTTATTTTTTATTTAAATGTAGGAAATTCAACTAAATTCTTAAGAAATCGTTTTAATTAATATTATTTATGTAAAATTGCGTTTTTTTAATAATGCCTGAAGTTAGTGCAAGTTAATTTTATACGTCAATAAGCGAGAAATGAAAAATTAATTTCAATTATTCCTTTTGGTCCCAAAACTTGCACATTACATTATATATTTTTTTAATTAAAAAAAATTGCGATATGTATTGTAACGAACAGCCAAAGCAAAAGCGAAATAAAAATTGATGAAATCATAAACTTTTTAATTTTAACGTTTAATTTTAAACATTGACAGATGAAAAGTTAATACTAAATAAAAAAAATAATAAAAAATCTATTGCGACTTTATTCGATAAACAGTTATCCATAATATAAATATTTGTGCGTTTCATAATAAAAAGTAAGTATGGCATGTAAGAAAGTTTACTTAAGCTCTATTTAAATATACCATGGACCACTGCCACAGACAAAAAAAGATTTTTTTTCATTTAAAAAAAATATATATATAGAAAAGCGTGTCCATGATATGCTATTATATTTATAGGTACTATACACTGGTAGATTTAATATAAAAAAAGTTAAATAAAAAATCCATTTCGCAATAATCGTTGCAAAAAAATAGCAAGTAAAGCTGAAGCCCAACTTAAAACAAAGTTAAATAATAAAACTGCGTTGTTAACATCGATCAAAAATGTACTAGATATACAAATCAGCAACAAAAAATGTCCTTAACGAATGAGCGCTCATTTGAACATTTGAACGCGCTTTTAATTTCTATTTTTGTTTATGAAAACAACTTTAAGCGTTGCATTTAAGGTTCAATTTACATTGTTGTATATTTATTTTAACTAGAATAATTACCTAAACACAGTTGGTGACAGTTTTAAGAGAACTTTTGCATGGGATTGTCTATCTAGTACTTTTTTGATCGATGGTTGTTAAAAATAAAATACAAATGTAATCAAGCAGTTTATCAATGTCATTCAGTTAGTCCGATTGATAAAAACACATTACATTCACTAGATTTACATTTCATTAATTTTTATCTGTACCAATATTAAAAAAAAGAACCTGTCAAAAGTGACATAATTGATGACAAAATTTAAATAAAAAAAATGTTTTGTAACAAAAAGAATATAGAAAGCAAATCAGTCTTAACTTACGCTTACATAGCACTAAAATATATGTACATATTAAATATGTTTGATCCGAGACCAGACCTACTCGTATTTACAAATTCATACAGCCGATAGTTTAGAAGTTATATCTTAAAATCAAAGTACCATACATACATTGAAACATTCGCTATCTAACTCGATAATTTACAAGTTATATTTACAATTATTAAATACACAATTTGGCTGTCATTTTCTAAACTGCGACCTAATGGGTAATAGATATATGAAGGGACCGCCATTTTATTATCATTTGTTATAAAAACAAGATCGAGATGGATTTGGTAATTTAAATTTCAATTAATTGATTTAATTTCCATTGTATAATTTGGTAAAATAGCACTAAAAACTCGTATTACGAATGATATCCAATACTTTTATATTGTTAAGCGTAAGCACGATCAAATAAATGAGATAGCACACTACTATCTCTATCTCTTTCCTTCTTACTCTCGCCGAGAGAAATAGATATATGTACACATATCCCATAAACATAGAGAGTGGACCGAGTGTTTCTTTGCCAGCCGTCAGAAAAAAATGGCGGAAAGGCGCGACAGAGACAAAACGAATGTGCGGCCAGAAGTCTTCTGTGTTCCAAATAAATACGATTAATGAAGATAGATATTTATAACTATTTTACATTCTATTATAATATTATAATTTTCTATTATATATTTTTTTACATTCCATTTATAAATTAAAATTGGAATACAAAACGGGTATTGGCCGCACGTTTGCTTTCTCTTTTTTGTCAATTTCATGACAGTATTGCTCTATGATATATACCAGTGTTTAATAAAACACTGACAATATAGCACAAATAGGTAAATATCACCAACAAAACCATAGATAAAATAAAAAATATAAAACAAAATGATAATAAAATGGCGATAAGGAAATCTCCAGTTATTGTCGACCACCGACAGGAATAAATTAACTACACACACTGTGTACGGATGATTCACACAGTACAAGTTGATATCACAGGACCAAGGAGCGTCCTCGCTCGCGCCATATTGACTAGGCTTTGACGTCACGTTCATAAATAGATAGATGGAAATTAAATAAATAATTTATTATCCTTGCCGTATTGAAGGTGACATGAGGCTTGGTGTCATGTCAAAGATGGATTTTTTTTCAACCAACTCCTTCAAAAAGGAGGTTCTCAATTCGGCTGTATTTTTTTTATATTTTATATTATAACTAAGCGAAAATCGCCATTCCATTACACCTTCAATACCACAACCGTTTATTTACTTAATAAATAAATAATTTAAAAAAAACGTGCAAAACGTGACGTCATTGAAAGAAAAATTAAAACAGATCAGTGACGATCGTTCCGAACCAAGCACACACTACTGGTAAGGCGTATGTGAATAGGGCCTTTTGTAGGGAAGGTCTGTCTGCGGAGGCGGCTACTGGTTGCTCCGTAGGTCTGACAGGGTCTGTCAGGTCTGGCACGCGTTGGTCTGGCAGGTCTGTCTCGACTGGCAGTTCTGGTTCTGGTTCTTTTTCCACTGGTTCGATGTTTTTAGGTGCTATTGGTACTTCGGGTACGTTCGTGCGCATTGGCACCTCGGACACAGGGCGGTCTATGTCCACCGATGTGGTGCCGGCAACGAACCGGCTATCTCCTGAACCTGTTACAATGTTTCATTGCTTATTATTTTTCTATACTGGATGAAATTATATTATTAATACATGTTAAAGAACTCTGATGTGTAAAATATAAAACTATCTTTTTCGAGTTTTTCGCGAATTTATTTTGATTTTTAGAATTCCAAATATCAACCAAAAATCAAAATAAATCCGTGACAAAACCTAAAAATATAGTTTTGTTTAAAATGTCAAACATTCGCATAAATATAAGAAAGTATTTTGTGAACTTTTATGTGTTAAGACCAAAATTATTCGACTCGTAGATTTTGAGTTGTGACTGGAGTACTAATATTCCACCACACAAATGAATGCCCCCGCGACCGTTGGGCACAGCAAGTAGAGTCACTACAAACTGAGCCAAACGTGTTGTACAACCAAGACATACCTTCGGGATAATCATCTTCGTTCCTGTCCTCGTCGTCGGTGGGGAGGTCATCGGTGTCGTAGGCGTCGTCGCCGGAGCCCGAGCCCGAGCCGGCGTCCGAGAACTCGCTGACGGACGCCGCCGCCGCCTGCAGCTCCTCGGCTGGTGGTGTATAGATTAAATTATAGGATGAGGTTTTGAGATACAAAAAATTCCTTTAAAATTTTATGTGAGTGGGTGTAACATGATATACAATTTTCAACACATCCTTGTGGAGTGTGTTAAACATCAAAGGTAAAGGAGATCTGAAACGCAAAACTTAATATGAATGTTAGTTATAATATTGGTTCATACTTAAGTATATTTGCGAACCTATCAAGTTATTGATGTTGTTAAAATTTTGGTAGATATGGTTTTGTAACATTGAATCTATTTTCTTTTCCTATAACATATTTGTGATGCACTTAAGTTAAGATACGATGGGGCTGACATGTTCTAAAAGGATAAAACTCCATAAATAAAAAATATATGAGTTAGTTTATAAATAGACTTTTTTAATTGGTAACGTTATCTGGGAAATATATATATATATATATATATATATATATATATATATATATATATATATTATATTTAATTTTTTGAGCGGAACTCTTCCTTTTTTTAAATAAAAGTAGCCAAGTTATTTCTTATAACACCAGCTATTTTTTTTGCCACGAAAGTCGTGTCAAAATCAGTCCAGCCGTTTCGGAGATTAGCCGAAACAAATTGACAAATAGATAAAAATGTTAAAAATTAAGTTTTTCTTATATGTACCACATATAATTCCATATGCGTTTAGTAAAAAGCTGTTATTTTGACATTACAAACAGACACATCAATTTTATTTATCTGTATAGATAACTAACCAGAATCTTTCCACTGCACTTCCACACCGTTGTAGGCGTCTTTGAGCTTGGCGGTGTAGGAGCGCAGCGCGTCGAGCGCGGGCGGCGCGGGCGCGGGCGCCGCCGCCGCGCGCACCTCGGGGTTGGACGCCAGAGCCGGCGACCCGTCGCCCGCCGCTATTGACGTGTAGCTGTGGGTTACGGAGGTTAATTAACTAAAACATACAATACTTTCTTAGATTTACCGCGAATATTTGACATTTTAAATAAAACTATCCATTCGCAGGAATCTCTCCCGTGGCTATGATTGTTCTAAAGCATTCAAAACATGAGGAACCATAAATCAAAATAAATCCACGAAATATTTCGGATTTTTTTTTTACTTTAACATTTAGTAATGTCCTACCGACCGATTTTGGCCTCGGCCAATTCCATTGAGACTAACCAACTGCGCAGGAGATTATAGTGCAGCCACAAGCATACTCTCTATTTTTGTCTCATACTCCGATGGAACTACACACCACCGATACCACCGATGAGAATTAAGGCACGATACCCACACTACACGTACTCTCCGTGTCATCGATGTGAAATACCGCCAACTTTCCTACACAGTCACTGAGAATTCGAACCCAGGATCTACGGATCTGCGGCCGTACATGCTAGCCACTAAACCACCGAGGCAGTTAATATAATATATCAAAATATTTTTACATGAATAACTAGTAAATAAACAAGCTTTTTCTCGAGGCTCTGCTTACTAAGTAGATCCAGGTTTTAAGCTATCATGCTTTTGAATTTCACACAAATCCTTTGTTTAGTTACAGTGCGCCGAAGTAACAAGCACTCACTCACAACGCTTTAAGCACTCACAAAGTATAAATAAATAATCATTTAAGTGAATGTTTAAACATTGACTTAAATTATTAATATCAATAATTTATGTAAGTATTGTATGTGTAAGACTCTTGATGCGTAAGTTCGACTTACACTAATCTGATTTGTAGTATAAGTAGGTAATAATTTAACACCTTATTATAGGTGAAAAACACTATAACTTCTATTCCATATATAAACAATAAGAATAATAAACATCTCTAACTCGTAATTATTCCATTTACCTATTAAAAATTAATAATACTAAAAAATCTCTCAAAACTAATCACTAATCTCACCCAGTGACTAAATCTCACTAAAGCTCACCTAGCTACATGGGAGCCGTTAAAGCAGGGCGTGCTGGTGACGCTGGTGGAGGCGCACAGCACGGCGGGCAGGTGCACCCAGTAGCGGCGCGACGCGCGGATGCGGGACCTCGTCTCTCTTACTAGACGCTCTAGCGCTGGACCGGACTCGCCACCTGGTAAAGATATTAAATTCTATTTATTACTTGAAAAATTGCTTATAAACAGGTGAAAATGTCGGATGAAATGTTAACGTGAAAAATTTGAAAATTTCAATGTTATTATTAAATCTACATTACGATTATTTCGCTAAAATTCAAATCAACTAACTCCATGGAAAATATGGAAGTGACAATTTGTGATTATCTAACACAACACTTAAAAATCATTTCAATAAAATTTCTATTAAGTAGTATATATTATTAATATATATTCTATATTGTATATGGTATATAGTATTCCTATTAAGTAGTATATATATTAATTTCTAGTCAGTAAGCGTTCTATATAAGTATGTATATTTTGTTTTATTGACCAATTATAAAATGTATCTTATTAAAAAATCAAGGTGCAATCCAAATAATAAAAATTATAAAGATCACTATCACTTACCATAATTGTCTTCAGCTTTGTTGATTGGTTTCTTCTTCTTAGATCCTCGCTTGCCATCGAATTCGTATGACTTAAAGTCAATTTCCGCGCCTCCAGGCGCTGGTTCTGGGTCAGCGTCTCGTTTCCTTCTCTCGTGTTCTTCATATTCGTCCAATTTAATTTGACCTCTCATATATTGGAGGAAACGTTCCCTCAATTTGGACTGTTCAGCCATTTCTTCCGTTGCTTTTCTTATACCGTCGGGTGACTTGAGTCCGACTAGCAACGGGTCGTCGTTAATGAGACTCTCGAAAGATGCCTCTATTTCGAAATCGTCGACATCGTTGGATTTGTGGTTCCAATCAAAGTCTGGTATGGATCTTGCGAAACGCCGACTCCTGTCGGAGGTGAAGAATGGCCCAGTACTGCCACCTCCCCCTAGAATTGGTTTCCCGCAACCAGAGAAGATTTTCTGTGAGATCTCCTGGTTACGCTCTTGGAAGCTCATAATGGCTTCTGAGATTTTTATATCAATGGGCTCGACTACCATCGCTATGTTGAACGGACCGAGGAGGCGATCTGCTACTTTTTCTACGGCATCTAGAATATGAATTTAATTGCATATGAAAACTCGATAAATTAAAATCCTGTTAAATTAAACAACCATGACCCAAATTTATTCCTATTCACAACAAAAAATAAACACCTCTAGTATGTTTTAACCCCTTTTAAACTCACTGCTGGGCACGTTTGGGTTGGCAGACTTCACATGTCCTTTGAAAACTTGGTAGATTCTCTCAGACATGCGGGTTTTCTCACGATGTTATCCTTCACCGTAAGACAAATTGGTAATCATGTTGGAAATAATACGCACATGAAAATATCAGAGATGCGAGACCCGAGATTTGAACCCGCTACACTCAATTTTCGAAGAGAGCACGTTACCGCTGGTCTACCACTGCCTACATTAGCATCTCTAGAGCTGTACATAAAAACAAATTATACAACTTCAGATCTAACTTTCTTCAACAGTGAACTCACCAACATATGCGTCCCACTGTTCACCCAGATCCGCGTGTGCTGGTAAACATCCCTTGATAACATTATGGCAGTATCGGCTACAAGCGGGTTGTTGCTGGCCTGAGCACGTACCACAGTACCGGAGGCGAGCCCACGCGGTTACACACTCTTGTGATACACCCACCTGGAAATTGTGATACAAATGTAATATTAATAACGTTTTGATTTTCGGTCATGACCAAGTGGACTAAAACTGACCAATGAGAATGACGTAAGATATATAAAATATAAAATAAATAAATATGTTGAGACATTAACACACAGCAACATCTTGTTCCATGGTAAGCTACGAGGCTTGTGTTATGGATACCAGATAGTTGATACACTACACATATATAAACTTTCAATACATACATATTATAAATAAACACCCATGACTGGAGTATAAATATTCGTGCTCGCCACACAAATGAATGCCCCCAGCGGGACTCGAACCTACGACCGCTGGCACAGCAAGTAGGGTCACTACAAACTGAGCCAAACGTGTCGTCCTGTGTGCCGTATATTATGTACAGGCACTACTAAAGGTCATGTAAGTGTTTGATATACCTATAACCCTGTATTTACACGAGAATATCTTAAAGTAAATCAATTCTAAAGACCTTTCATGTTGCACAAACCTGAATAGCTTAATTTTTATGGAGGGAGCCTCGGGCGAAAAATAGAGGTCCCATCACCGTCTTTAGGAAGCAGAGCAACTAACAAAATTCGTCCATACGAATTGGCATTAGATCTATCTGATCGATTTTATTACTAACATTTTATTGATATTTTCCTTTCGTAATAAAGCAAAGGCAACATTTTGTTACGTTTTATGTACATATTTACGCTTTATGTGGGTGTCGCCAGCTGTTATATTGTTGCTACGAGAGGGAGTGTGTGGGATTAAAATTGCTATATTAATTGAACTTGTTGTGTTTTCGTTCAATTATGTCTTTTCTGTATACTTTTAGACAAAGTAAAATATATAATTAAATTATTTATTTTCAACATACATACATAAAAATGAAGTAGATTAAGGCTTAATAAGCTTATGAATTTCAAAGAAAACAAAATCTGGTAAAACCCAGGAAAAAAAACTATAATTAAAAAATATATCTTATCAAGAATATTATTTAACACCTCCAGGTAGCTTTCTAAGAAATTAATTAAAATTCTAAGAAATCTATTGTTAACTGTAACGCCGGCGTGTTCGTGGAGGGATTAAGATTCATTCATGAATTTCTTTAACGTCTAACTTTAAATAACAATTTGTTATTTTTTTGTTATAGCTTGATGTATCAACAAACCAAACATGGGAATCGATTACTCGCATCTTATCGATATCGGCATAGCCCTTAGGCCGACCGCTTCCTCATTAATAGATACGAGACGATTAAATTCTTTGGCGTTCATTTAACTCTGCTACTAGGACTACTGTGTAATAACAACACATGTCTGATGACATTTCGAGCAATATATTTATATTGCTCGAAATGTTAATTTTAAAAATTATTTAATTTAATGTGACGAGATAAAAAAATACCTATTTCTTCTTCTTTGGTTCATACATAAAATATCTCTATGCAAAAACTACAAGACTCTATTGTACATATATACGAGTATATTAAATTCATAATATAAGAGGGAAATTGTTGTAAGTAATATTATAAATAACTAGCGACTCACCCTCGTTCGGGTTCGTCCCTACTTACGTTTTCACGTTTAGTATAGATTTCTCAAGGATGAGAGATTTTCCGGCAGTAAAAAGTATCCTATATGTTGACAAGGGTAGCAGCTATCATTATACCAAATTTCATCAAAATCCCTCCCACTGGTTTTGCTGTGATGGGGTAACAGACAGACAGACAGACAGACAAAATTTCTAAAAACTATAGACTCGGCCTCTGTTTCGATAATAATGTCTATTTCAATAAGATTTTCCAAAAAATATTTAATGTACAGATTCGGCTTAGTTACCATTTTATTATATGTATAGATATATACTCGTATATAAACTTCGTTATAATGGGTTTGCGCAAAGTAATATGCTTGGAGGAAAGCTTTTGTTCTTTGTTTGTACAGTGTACTGAATAGAATCCGAAATTACTGAACCGATTTAGATGAAATTTCGTAAGAAGATAGTTTGAGACCATACAGTACGGAGACATAGGAGTTTTTATCCCGGAAATCATACTTTAAGGGGTGAAAATGAGGAAGAAAGATTGTATGGGAAAACAACCTAGGGATGAACCCGAGCGAAAGGAGAATGAGTCGGTGACTCGCTAGTTTTGTATATAATAATTGATATAATAATGATTGATGTAACGAAATGTAATAATTACAAAGTATAATTTATTTATAATGTACTATAGTGTTTATAAACAAGTCAATTTTTCACAACAGTTGATTACTTTTTTCATTAAGTTTAAACGTATTTGCGGGTGGTCGTCAGCATTTTTATGTTGCAAACGATCTGGCATAACCATTACGTGCGTTTATCAAATGAGTCTGTTAAGAGCAAATGAAGATGCAGTTTAATTTAGTAATTGGACCCAGTTATGCAAAAAACAGCCATGTGCGTAAAAGTACCAACACTCTTATAATCATTTTTCTGTCGATATGCACTTGGGTTATGTTTTGTTTTTCTGGTTATTTTAAAATTGAACAATATTTATATTATTTTATTTGTTGGTACTTTTACGCACATGATTTTTTTTTGCATAACTAGGTCCAATTTAGGCAAGAACATTGCATGTAGATAAATATCTAGAAATCTTAGGGTCGATGGCAATGACACACGGTCGCCTTGATGGGATCTTTAGGGCTCGAGTTTACGACATAATTGCCGGTCAACATTCCTATAGACTTACAGAAATGGAATGTGGGCAGACGGATATGAGCATATTATGGTTTTGCAAAGCTTTTTCTTTGACAAAGGAAATTCTTTCGTATGACAACAATTATATGCATAAAAACGTTGTTATTATTGCTAGATTATTGCAGGAAATAGTTTATCACGATAAACATCAAAAAGGTACTTGATGAAACGTTTGGCTTAGTTTGTAGTAACCCTATTTGCTGTGCCAGCGGTCGTGGGTTCAAGTCCCGCGGGTATTCATTTGTGTGATGAGCACGAATGTTTGTACTCCAGTCATGGGTGTTTATATTTATAATATGTATATATTTAAAGCTATATATATTTAGTGTATCAACTAACTGATTCTATAACACAAGCCTCGTAGCTTACCATGGAACTAGATAGTGCTATATGTTAATGTCCCAACATATTTATTTATACATATTTATTATTATGCAACAAAAACCTAAAAATGGGCAGTCCTATAATTATTATCAATAATGTTGTAAACAACGTCTGCGATGACATCACCACACCAAATGTACAGGCGAATATTTTAATCTCACAAAGACGATTGAATACGCAGAAGTAGATATAGAAATAAATTTGAATTATATTATTAATTGCGAGTAACGTGTCATCTGGCGCCAAATGAGATCAACGCACGCTGACTCACATACCCATACCCTGTAGAATAAGCAACAAGCTACTCCTTGTGTTATATAAAGATATATTTTAATGAATTCAGTGCCGAAATTCACAACAAATTTGCATATTCCATGTCGATTGAGACAATAGAAGCTTGAAATTTATATGGAGTACTCATGGCTTCATGCCCATGCGAGCCTTAATTTAGTATGCGATTTCTGATCAGTCTGGAGGTCAGTAGGCAAATCGTCAGTCTTAATGTTCGCCATTTAAGGATATGATTGACGTAACCGAGACTTAATGCCGCGTTTTAAATTTCAATTTGGTATATGTTTTTATTTTCTGTTCTTAAAGCTATAAAGCTTTAAGAGCAACTTAAATATATTGGGACATTAACACACAGCACCATCTAGTTCCATGGTAAGCTATGAGGCTTGTGTTATGGATACAAGGTAATTGATACACTACACATGTTATATAACGTTAAATACATACATATTATAAATATAAACACCTATGACTGGAGAACAAACGTTCGTGATCATCACACAAATGAATGCCTCAAGCGGGATTCGAACCCGAGACCGCTGGCACAGCAAGTAAGGTCACAAACTAAGCCAAACATGTCGTCAAACGTTACTAGTTGTTCCATGCTAGCTATTTAAAATAAACCGATGAATACTTTACACTCATTCGAATCACGACCAAGAATGCGTCATCAATTCGTACATTTTGTAGCATGAATTCTTTAATTTAAGCGACGAATTAAAAAAATTGTAATTCACTCATATCAAAAATTTGGTGATTTATTAACCCCCGACGCAAAAACGACGGAGTGTTATAAAGTTTGCCGTGTCTGTGTGTCTGCCTCGTGCATCGTAGCTCCCGAACGGATAAACCGATTTTGATTCAAGTTCAATTTGAAAGGTAAATTAGTCAGGAGTGTTCTTAGCTATATTTGATGAAAATCGGTCTGATGAAGATGGCCGCCTCCACAAAATGGCGGATTACATATTTTTTCACAATTCCCTCAATATGGGTATCAAATGAAAGGGCTGAACTTAGAGAATACACTATGATAAATTTCAAATCCAAGATGGCAGCCACCACAAAATGGCGAATTACATATCGGGGTTTTTTTAAATTTTGAATTGAATTTATACTTTAAAAATTTAGGTGTATTGCGTTTAACGAGATAATGGTATATTGAAAAAGAGAAACGCAGCAGGTACGCGATATTACCTTATATGTATAGTGTATAGACAACACGGACTTGGTCATATCCAATTATATAGTAAAAACTGCGCTTTAATTTCAACTCGACGTTACACGACATCCCTTGCTACAAAGCTAATGTAATTGAGCAGCTTTAAACTATTGCAGAAATATTGGCCATCGCAAAAAAAAAATTTTAAAATTCTTCTTATATACCGTAGGTTACTATACTTAGTACCTACGTATTTAATTCTTGGTCACACCATAATATATTTAATTTTTATACTTTTATTTTGCTTTAGCACCTACCTATGTGTTATTTTAGGTCATAGTCTGTGTACAAAATTTCATCTAAAAGAAAATTTCATCCAAAAAAATCATTCGTCCAAAAGAAAGAGTGACATAAAAGAAAAAGTGACAAACATACACACATATAAACTTTTTCATATATAACAGTACTCGTAGTATGAAAAACACCTATACCTGCATCATATTCTTGACAACATCAGCACCAGCTCGCAGTGCTTTGTGGAAGGTGCGAGTAGCGACGAAAGCTCGTCGCAGCTGCACTGAGAGCTTCGACGGCACATCCTCGAAGGGCTTGATGTCTCGCATGTGCTCGCTTACACATTTTAGATACCTGTAATAGGTAAGTAATAAGTTATAGATAAATGTTATTTTAATTAACACCTCCAGGTAAATTTCTAAGAAATTAATTAAATTTCTAAGACATTTATTGTTAACTGTAACGCCGGCGTGTCCGCGGTCGTTGAGGGTTTAAAAAAATACTCGTATATACATATAAATTATACCTATTAATTAAAAAATAATTATTAAAATGAATTCAGAATTGGACGATATAGTGCAACATAAAACAAGAAAAGACCATACAGACTGAGTGTCTGACTATCTCGACTTTTTTATTTAAGTCAGTCAAAATTTATTTAACTCACAAAAAAATCAGCCCCATGGACTACATTTTATTGAAGTTGGTAAGATATGTTAAAACTTTCAAAGGTTCCAAAAACGTACTTAATTTATTTTTAGGTATGGTTTTGCTTTCCAAGTTTATCTACATATATCTTTACCGTCGAGCGAAACTCTACCAAAATCGAACCCACTATCCACTGTCCTTTTAGCGCGAACGATCGCATTAATAACACGTCGTACTTACAAACCAGTTACGAATGAACCTTCTCAGAAGCAAACAGTTAATTCCTGTAGGAAATTGTGCCTACAGTTTAACTGAATAATTCCAGTAAACGTGTAATCAACGGAAGAAACAATTTCTGCCTTCGACCATTTTATTGGTATTCAACCGGGTCGCGCGGACATGCGTGAAATTGTAATCGTTTCGGTGTTGGCTATTATGTTTAATAGATGAATTATAAAAGAGGATTTGCGAAATGTATCTTGCATGCTAAATCGATGGGATTATTTTTAAATTTATGGTAATCTGATAGATATGCGTCATACTTTGCCAAATCTGAACAGAAAAACCATAGCTCTTCACATTGTGTCTTCCTAGGTGACATAATCAGGGGTTACTAAACTTAGTTTTCCTTTACATTGATAACATTAAAAACTTCTTTAGAGATATAAAGGCTTCGTCCGTCTGATAGAATCGGTCTTCTGACTGGTAATTTGATTTTGTAGCGAAGCATTTACTACTGAATAATAGGTAAACTCTGGACTTAGTTTAAAAATTTTTTTAAGCCAAAGCAAAAATACATACATATAAATATTACAAATATTTGTCTTTACATATTATTATTTAAATTTCAGATGAAAAATATCGTATCTTGTATAATTTTTAGAATGTACATATATTTATTGTTACCTGCTCACTAAAACAGAAAAAGTGGTGTTCATGTTCGTGAAAAGGAATACCCTTTGTGAGACGAAATACAAAGTTGCCAAGTTATTACCATGAAATTGTAATGTGCTGTTATAGTACTTGTTAAAATATCACAGAAAGACTAAGAATCGTAAAATTGCTACAGCGAGCTATGCCTTTGTCAATTCTTCAAACTTATTTTTTCAACATACATAGTCATCTGAAGCTGATGTCTACACTATATACAAAACGTTGTTTTTCATCATTGAGAACTACAGTGTTTCATTTTGGATGAAAATAGCACATTGAACTCATATCACCTACGCTACTTAGGTATATTGGAACTTCCTTTTGGCAGAAGAAATTCAGAATCGGATAATTTATTCTCAGAAATTTTACTTTATACAATAAGGAATATGCGTGATTTATTTTAATTTCTATACAATAGCTAACATCGTTATATAATTGAAAAAAAATATAGAGCTCCAAAAAACTAAAATTTAGTACCTATAAAAAAATTAAAAATATACCGATACGGATATTTTAAACGCCAGCCATTTCGCGCGCTATGCGTGACGTCATAGTATCATACATAGAAAAATGACGACTTTAGTTCGTAGCAACAAAATCTCTAATCGCTATGATATGATAATACTTTGACATCATATTCGGTCTGACCAATGGCGTGCGTTGTAACTACTTTGAAACTCCCACCTATATTTGCACTTTTTAATAATTATTTTCTTAATCAAAAAGATTTGACACTAAAAAATATTGATATAGGCTTAATTCCAAAGCAATTATATTCTTTATTGCACTTAAAATATGATACAGAAAAAATAACAAAAATAAAACTTAGTTCACAAAGGTGGACTTATCTCTAAAAGAGATCTCTTCCAGTCAACCCCTGGATGTGGAAGAAGATGTCAGCGGGCAATATAGTGCAAAAAATATACAAAATATATACTAGAAATAAAGGTAATAATAATCACATATACATACATATACTACTTATAAAAATATATAATACTATACATATATAATACCTAATGTAAAGACTCTACTTATACAAACATACATATATACATGTACATACTTAATATATAAAATATGAAAATAGAGAAAGGTGCTGATGAAATAGAGAAGATGCAAAAAAGATTATAAAAAAATATTTCACCTTTATTTAAATCGGGTAAGAACAGATATCGAGAGATCAAGTAAACTAATGATACATACAACGAGATTGTGCACAATAAATACTTTTATTCGGTAGACATTACAGGAGTGAGTAAGTGTTCCAATTCGTTTGAAGTTCTGCGACACCGTACATTTAGTGTTTTATAGTACCAGCGACGTAATTAATAGATGTTGCATACAAATAAGAAAAACAAAAAAAATACTTGGATGGGTTTGAGTAAAAAACGTCATAATAAATTATTGTTTTTTTTTCTGCAAACCACAAATGTGATTTTAGGATGTGTATACGATATGCCAATTTTTTTACATGCAGAGTTAAATTTAAAAACTTTAATAATTTGAATCAATACACGAGTTATTTTAAAAGAAATACATCAAAGGATGATATATATAAATGAATATGTTGGGACATTAACACACAGCGCCATCTAGTTCCATAGTAAGCTACGAGACTTATTATGTGTGTTATGGATACCAGGTATATTCCGTATATATACTACACGTATATTACTATAACATACACGCATATTATAAATATTAAACACCCATAGCTGGAGTACAAACATTCGTGCTCATCACACAAATGAATGCTCTCAGCGAGACTCAAACTCGCGCAAACAAACAAAACAAACTTAGCCAAATAGAATAAAGTGCGAGAAAGATGAATCATAAAAGAGTTCCACGTTTAGTATCCTGTGATAAACTTTTAATTGCGCACACGCATGACGAATGACAATATTGATCTCAGCCACTGAAAGAAATGTCGCAAAGAGAACTATTTAAAGGAACATCAGCTGCAAGGTAATATAAACTTAAAAGCAATGTGACAGAATTATTTTTTGTTTGCACTAATGCTTAAGGAAACTCTGTTTATAAAGACAGATCTATAAAACACTTTAGACCAGTTTATGAGATCGCGTAAATAAAGCTATGGTTATGTAAAGAATAGTGAATAGGGTTGTTAGTTGTTGGTTTTTTGATAATTCTTGATTCCGAGTAGTTTACTTCGAAGTGCCCGACGCGGCGTATACATTTAATAAAACAATTTTACTAACATTCTAAACTTAAAAAAAACACCAACTTGAAATAATGAATTTTAGAATATTTAATTTACCTGATAGAATTTAAATTTTAAATAAAGAAAAGTATTTGAAATAGAAAAAAAATATTAAAATATATTTGTGTGACAACCCTAGAAATGGTTATGATAAGATTATTAAGTGGCTAGTTGATGTTTTATTTTAACTGTCAGGTTTAAATCTGTTATGGTGCTTTATGGTACTTTTTATATTCAATAACCACGTGGCTGTTTACGTCATGTTAATAGTGTGATGGGTAGTTAATTATGCAACAGTTCTTTCATACACTATTCATCTAATTATAGCGAATAAGATATACTTTACCGGTATTTGGTTAGCCTATACATACTAATATTATAAAGAGGTAAAGTTTGTGAGGTTGTAGGGGGTAATCTCTGCATCTACTGAACCGATTTAGATGAAATTAGGTAAAGATAGTTTGAGACCCTGGGAAGGACATAGGATATATTTTATTCCAGGAATCATCCCTTAAGTAGGTGAAAATGGGGATGAAAGTTTTAAGTTTTGGGAAGTAAAGGACGAACCCGAGCGAAGCGAGCATGAATCGCTAGTTAATCCCGCAACGACTGCGGACACGCCGGCGTTACAGTTAACAATAGATTTCTTAGAAATTTAATTAATTTCTTAGAAATTTACATGGAGGTGTTCAATATAAATTAATATCTTCTTTTACATATAACAGCGAAATCTCTGACTGGTTAATAACGAACTCTTAGAAGATATGAATACTTAAAACTTGTATCCGCTAAGTACCTAAGCATTTTTGGAAAATCGACCCCCAAACGTCTAAGTAAGGTGTTGGAAGAAGTATGAAATCTTGTTATTTTTAAAGTCACAGTTTCTTTTCAAGTGACGACTATTCGAATTCAAAGTTTTAGAGGGACAGTAGGAGGGTTGAAAAACAGGGGATGATATAAAACTTACGAGCGAAGCAATTATACAACTAAGACACGCAAGAAGAACCACATGGCGACACTAGTTATATAATTGTAGTGCCATTAGAAAACTTTACTAGTCTCTCCTGTGACCATGATTGCTGTAAAGCATTCGAAACGTCGGGAACCAAAAATCCATACCATAGAACCATAAATCCGCAAAAAATCCGAAAAGATAGTTTTATTTAAAATGTCAAATATTCGTGTAAATCTAAGAAAGAACTATGATTAGTATTTTCCCACGACTCTGATCAAATAGCAGGACGTGACTAAAATCTAGTCTATATATCTATATGACCTAACCTAAGTACCTATATTCTTGCCAACACCTACAAGCAGTTTAAGCGTAAAAAGGTAACATAGAGACAAACAAAATTACTTTCACATTTATTTTAATTACTTTCTTATACTTTTATTATCTGTACAGCAATGTCAACCAACTTTGCTCACCTTAAAAGGACATTGTAAGAATATTTTTGTAGAAATTACGATACTTATAATGTAAATAAAAATATACAAGAATATTTTATACATACATTTTAATCAATAATTTTATTCTTGGCTTATTTAACTGTTATATAACATGCAACCACAGCCATTTTTATTGTAAAACTATTTATTCCGGGTACTGGCATACTGAATACATGAATATTTTAAGGGGTAATTGTGATGGGAGGCCATGGCCTTTACTCTATATTTACCTCTGTGATATTTTCTGTAATCCATATTGTGTTTTATTTACAACATATATACATTTACACTCTTATTTTTAACATCATCCACACGCAAAGAACGACCTCATTTTCTTCTTAACACTTTAGAAGGTTTAAAACTCTTATATATTTCTTTTTGGCGACACGTTTGGCTCAGTTTGTAGTGACCCTACTTGCTGTGCTATCGGTCGCGGGTTCGATTCCGCTGAAGGCATTCATTTTTGTGATGAGCACGAATGTTCGTATTTCAGTCATGGGTGTTTATATTTATAATATGTATGTATTTAAAAGTGATATATTTGTAATATATCAACTATCTGGTATTTATAACATAAGCATCGTAGCTTACCATGGAGCTAGATGGTGCTGTGTGTAAATGTCTCAACATATTATATATATATATATATATATATATATATATATATATATATATATATATATATATATATATGTATTGCAGGTAATTTTCTTTTTTTATTCTTTCTCTTTCTTACATGTCAAGGTATAAATATATAGGTATAATATATGTCTTCTAAAGAAATCTCAATAAATATAAAATCTACACCTATATTAGGTAAAGATTGTAAGATTGGATATAGGGGTAATATCTGAAACTACTGATCCGATTCTAACTAAAAGAAACATCCGAGCAAAGCTAGGGTAAGCCAATAATTAAATTAATTAAACATGTTAATAATAAAGAACATAATATATAACTTACTTCTCGTCGAAGCTGTACTGCGAGTTGAGCACTGTGAACATCTTCTGGTAGAGGATGCTGAAGAAACTGTCCATCATTTCATCGAAATCTTTGTCGCCGCGGGTATAGTACCTGTATATTTAATACTCAATTTTAGTTTATATCTATACTAATATTATAAAGAGGTAAAGTTTGTGAGTTTGTGACGTTGTAGGGGGTAATCTCTGGATCTACTGAACCAATTTAGATGAAATTTGGTAAAAAGATCCTGGGAAGGATTTTTATCAAATTCAAATTATTTTATGTAGCATTAAATTATTATAATTTTTTACTGAACGTCATTAGTCTATCCCAGAAATCATCCCTTAAGGGGGTGAAAATGGGGATGAAAGTTTGTATGGGGAATTAAGCTAGGGACGAACCCGAGCGAAGCGAGGGTGAGTCGCTTGTATCTATTAAATAAATATCTCGTGTCACGGTGATTGTGGTCGCACTCCTCCGAAACAGCTCGACCGATTTTAATTAATTTTTTTACATATTTTGTAGGTATGAGAATAGGTCGTAAAGTATTTTTCAGCCTCCTACCCCCACCCCCCATTTTTTAAGTAGGGGCGAACCAGAGCGAAGCAAGGGTCAGTCGCTAGTTATTTATATATTTTAAGTAACAGTTGTTTACTGGAAATAAATAAATAAAACAAATAACCCCGGTATGATTAGGTAAGTAGATTTATGGCATGTGTTTCTTTTAAAAAGGCGTACAGACTTTTAGGAATTTTAAAATATAGTTGTTTTTTATTAAGTAATTTATCATCCCTAGGGCTGAGTTTTGTTCCAAATAAAAATATTTATCCATATTGAGATATATTTATTTATTAAAACACACACCCAAATTTTGTAGGTACTTTCTCTTTCTAAAAAGCTATCAAATTCGCAAGTTATGTCCAAAATTAAAATCAAAATTTTATACTGAGTACTCGTCCCAAAACATGACTAAGAAATTGTTCATTTCAAATTTCCATGATAAATATAAGAAACTTTTTGTTAGTTAAATACGAGTATGTATACGGTCCCGTATTAGAGAAAACAAAAGAAGAACAATACAGTCTGGGGCACAATAGAGGGAAAGGGTTGATCATTTCTAAAACAACTTATGAGATCATAAACTAAAAACAAATATTGTGTAGTTTTACCATAAACATTCAAAATACACCTTTTTGGCAGTTTCCATTTAGTATTTACAAAGTACGTGGTCAAATCTTGAAACCCAAATGAAAATGCAATTCTCGTAGTTTGATATTGTCAAACGAGTTGATGATGGAACCAGAAATCGTGTAGTAGAACTTTGTAATTACTACTAATAGTAGGTCAAAAGCGTTTTTTTTTAGATTTCTAAAAGAACAATTTTTACTTCACCGGATAATGTTATGGGTAGGAAATTGTCGTGGTGGGGGGGCTCAGTAGTGCCCGGCAACCCAACCGGGCGCGAAGCCAAGAAACGCACAGGGAGGTGGCCCACTTCGGTGGGCGGTGGGAGGTGGCCCTCTTCGGAGGGCGGTGTACCATGCGGGTTGCTCCTGGTACTTTTCTGATAGCAGAGTGGACCTTGGAGCAACCCCGTGGTTGTTGTGGTCTGCTTTGGCAGACCTGCCGTCGGGGCGTCGTAGTTGAATGCGTAAGCGATCCTGCGATGCCCCATTAAGACGGGCGAAGGCTTTGCCGGTGAGTCCCACACCTCGTGCGTAAATGCATTTCCCAACGTTAAAAAATAATAATAAAAAATGGGTAGGAAAAATAACTTATTTTAACTTTATATACATACACTTAATATAAAACCCAAATACTGTCTGTATCTAACAATAGATAGATTTATTTGTGAAACATATAAAAGATAATTTTACACAGTGTTTGAGTTTTATCTGTAGCTGGGAACCCCGCACAAAATAAACGTTTTAAAAACTGGCAACACTCTCACTTCTTCTCGCTTGGTCGTCGTGTGCATAACTGCCGCAAGTTTTGAAATAGCATTTAGAACTACTTAAGTATTCAAGATTTATACAGTATACTACATTTAATCACACTATAGTAATCCAAACTAGAGAAAAACAACAAAATATCAGTTACCGGGAACAGCAATGAGAAGAAAAAAGTGACACGCACTGGATTTACGTGTTAGATTGCAATTATAGGTTAGTGCCATTTTGGTTTCCAAGCGCGTAAAATATTAAATTCATTATCAAGTACGGCAATGCACGTACACAGACAAAATGTTCATACCTCTCCAATTCTTCAAACAGTTGTTCGAAGACATAAGAGTGTTGTTCATAAATCATTCCGTAAGTCCGCTTGAACATGGCGTGGAACTCCTGTCGCGACAGCTGTAATAGCTTGCGAAAGAATTCTGCAACAAAAAACATATTACGTATATAGTAAATTCTTGTTTAACCGTTCATTTTCTTAATCATTAGAAAACTAATAATATAAAACTTGTTTATGAGTGAGAATGTTCGTCCCAGAAGGGAATCACGTTGTAACTACTCGATCGATTTTCATTTACATATTATATATATATATATATATATATATATATATATATATATATATCCATCGCGCAAGGGGTTCCACGGGCAAAATCTAGTATTTTATAAACGAAAACGTAATACGTATAGTAAACGAAAGTTGTGATAGAGTTATTTACAGCGTAAGTACAAGAGAAGGCATAAAGGCATTACGTGAAACGGGACGAATACTGATAAGACTTTTTTAAGACATGTTTTATTTAAATATATTTTATCAAAAGATATGATCGAATAATAAGTAAATAAGACGTTGGCTTTGAACCCGCTACCCTTCTAGACTGAGCTTGAGCAATATTTTAAACTAATGACAGTCTACACAAGTCACATAGGAATGCACTTATCTACATCGTGAGTTTTTATCTATTAATTTAATTACTGCCGCCTTACTTACTACCTTGAATAAGATACATACTATTTATTGCAAGATGTTTAGTGCTTCTGTGAATTTGATATTATCATGAGGAAGAAACGTTTTTTGTAGTTGTTTATTTACGCGATAGCAATATAAATTATTTATCCAATACATTTTTTTTTCTACTGCCTACTGTTTCTGGCTTTTATTGTTTATATTTTATAATATACTAGCGGACCCGACAGACGTTGTCCTGTCTACACGTCTTTAATTTGAAAATTTCAAACTTTTTTTAATAATTTTTTTGATGAAAATTATTATTCAAATTGTGAATCTAAACCATTCCCAGATCCCCTTGAACACACACAAAAAATTTCATCAAAATCGGTCCAGTCGTTTGAGAGAAATTCAGTGACATACACACTCACAGAAGAATTATATATATATAAAGACTAGCGGCTCACCCTCGCTTCGCTCGGGTTCGTCGCTAGGTACGTTTTAAGTAGAGATAAATAGTTATTAGCCAGCGCTAGCCATATAATTTTCGTTAATTTTTCTGATGTTTTAATACTTATTATTATTATTATTATATTATTATATACTTATTATCCTATTCCGGACTAAGAGAAATCCAAAAATTCTAATATCATAAAAATTGGTCCAGCCGTTCTTGAGTTTTATGTCACGTTACACGGGAACGCAATCGAACGGGATAAAAAGTATCCCATGTCCGTCTCCTGGGTCTAAGCTACTTCCCCACCAATTTTCAGCCAAATCGGTTCAGCCGTTGTTGAGTTATAAATAGTGTAACTAACACGACTTTCTTTTATATATATATATATAGATATGTATCTTTTTTATGTTTGTTTGTTTCATGTGCGAACCATTTCTATCCAGATCACCACTTGCCTTACGGTGAAGGAAAACATTGTGAGGTAACCTGTATGTCTGAGAGAACCTAGCAAGTTTTCGAAAGACATGTGAAGTCCGATAACCAGCACTTGGCCAGCGTGGTGGACTATGGCCTGATCCCTCTCATATTGAAGGGAGGCCCGTGCCCAGCAATGGGACGTTAAAAAGGGCCGAATACATACACATCATCTTTTTTATGAATTTGTTATAAATCTATTTGAAATGAGTGTTTTATGTATCATAGATAGCAGTTTTTTTTATTTTAGAGATTAATCTCTACGAAATATATTAAATACTTGAGTATTTCCTACGTACGTACATACAAACAAACTAGCAAGCAAATATGACATCATTATAACAATTTAAAATCACATAATAGTAAATAAATTGAATTTGTGCCCACTCTGGCGCTAACCGCGGCATTGCGACGTGACGTGCATCAAATTACTTCAAGTAATCAATACTGTTTGAAATATTGAACAGTTCATTATCCTGTCCTATATTTTGACGTAAGTGAAACTTAGTTGCTGTCTTTGTATTTAAGATACGCTAATGAGGTCTCCATAGTCGAACTCTTTCTGTAGCAGAGATAGCAGGTTCATCACAAGGCATATTTGTTGCTAGCAGTTAGTTCCCCATACAAATTTTCATCCCCATTTTCACCCCCTTAAGAGATGATTTCCGGGATAAAAAGTATCCTATGTCCTTCTCAGGGTCTCAAACTATATTCCTACCAAGATTCATCTAAATCGGTTCAGTAGATCCAAAGATTACCCCCTACAACGTCACAAACTCACAAACTCATAATTCACAAACTCACAAACTTTACCCTGTTAATAATATTAGTAGTATATATAAGTATCGAACCGATGTTAACTAAATTTTGTATAGTGATAACTTAGTACTCAGGTCAACATTTAGGATACCTTATACTACAGGAAAATCTTTTATTCCTACGGAAGAGCACAATAACTGTTCCTGTCGAGTCGCCTTAGAAAACATGGCTAACGCTAGCTAAACGTTAAGAGATAAATACATCAAAACAATCTAGTAGAAAATTGTATATAGAGCATATGTCTATCTACTACGGTACACTCGCAATAACTATTTTTATCAATGTACAACGTACATACCCGAGCGAAGTGGGGGTAAGTGGATAATATTTAAATAAATGATAAACAAATCTTATACTCCTCGACTCAGATAAAAGATAAGCTGAATCACCACCACTGAACCAGATACGTCCTTTTATATGCTTCCTAATCTATACATATAATAAAATTGTAACTAAGCCGAATCTGTACATTAAATAATAATAATAATTAATAATGTCTATTTCAATAAGATTTTCCAAAAAATATCTAATGTACAGATTCGGCTTAGTTACAATTTTATTATAGGTATGTATGTATAGATTACCGATACAGAGGCCGAATCTATAGTTTTTAGAATTTTTGTGTGTCTGTCTGTCTGTCTGTTACCGCATCACAGAAAAACCACTGGAGGGATTTTGATGAAACTGCATTATAAGAGTATTCTAATATGTAAAACCTAAGAATTTGGTTTTTGGTCTTCTGAACGCGGGCGGAAATGTTAGTATTTAAATAAACGATAAACAAATCTTATACCCTCCGACGCAGATAAAAGCTAAGCTGAATCACCACCACTGAACCAGATACGTTCTTTTATATGCTTCCTAATTAATATTATATGAATGTAATCATAACATATGACATAATTAGATCATTTTTCGCCTATTATATAAATCAACTTCAACATTATCAGGAACTCGTAACTCGAATATCAAGACAGCAAAGCAACAAATGTTTATTGGACGCTAAATATAGCATGCGCAGACGCACAGCGTTTACTATAATATTTAGTTCTAGTTCTACATTGAACCAAGTACTTAATGCGTTAAAATAAGGCCACTTCAGCGTTTGTAAATTTAAATCTTTTTGTTGAAAATATCTTAGTATTTAATTTTTTAACTAATCTAAATAACGGATTTGCTGACCTTTCGAATACTTTACAGCAAACATGATCAAGGTAAACCTTCTTATCTTGATTGAACTTGTCCCGTAACCATGTCTACTGTAAAATATTCGAAGCGTCGACAACAAAAAACAATATAAAACCGCGATGAAATCCGCATCATAAATAAATAAAAAGACTTATATTGAAATTAGAGATAACTACTAAACACAAATAAAATATATAGACAAGTTATAAAATGTCCTTAATCTCAGTATGCCTCGTAACATAAATCCTCTTCTAACAATTTCCACTGGGGTCTGTCCCGACTCCTGAGCAACTCGACTCCACTTTGGACATATTTTTAATATCATCCTCCCATCCCAGACAGTGCGTTTTTTAAAGTTAGGAAATGCATTTGGGCATACCACCTGCATACACACAGGTGGTTATGTGGGACTCGTCGGCTAAGCCAGTACTATCCACTTAAACCCAACGGAATCTCCTCCCGTCTTAATCAGGTATTGCAGGATCGATAACGCACTCAACCACACGCCCCGACAACAGGTATGCCGAAGTAAACCACAACAACCATGGGGTTGCTCCAACGGTCCTCCCATCTCAGACCATATCATAATTATATCTTTAATTAATATTAATTACAATTATACGCCCTGGCCATAACTTACGTGACACAAATTAATTTAACTAAAAAAGGTAAGTGAGGAAAAGAAAAAAAATATTTTTTTAACTAATTTATTGTATACGGTTTATGTTTAATTTGGTAAGCAAGGTAATCTGCAAGTTTTACTATGGTGAAGGTCACCAGTTCGATTTCGAGTTAATTATTTTGTGTTAAGTATACAAGTGCTTGTCTTGATAAACATAAAATAAGGATTTGTAACCAATACCTACCAATATTGTCTTATGTCTTCTTTATCAATGTACGTTTATTGTTAGAAATTCAATCTATCTCTTGTCTAGGGCGTGTCTAACAAATATATAATTACAAGTAAGTTGAATGTATCTATATTAATACCTATTAATATTACTTGTGTTATGTTTGTTTGAACGCCCTAATCTCAGGAACTACTAATCCAATTTGAAAAATTATTCAATAGTCAGTTTATTGAGGAAGGCTATATTCTATATCTATACATATAATAAAATTGTAACTAAGCCGAATCTGTACACTAACTTTTCAAAGCACGCGGAGCCACAGTTGACTCTTGTTAACTTTTTTATTTTATTTATTTCATTTTTTAGAATTTAACCGCGAGGTGTTAAATATTTTTTGGAAAATCTTATTGAAATAAATATTATTTTCGATACAGAGGCCGAATCTATAGTTTTTAGATTTTTTGTCTGTCTGTCTGTTACCGCATCACAGAAAATCTACAGGGATTGTGATGAAATTTGGTATGGTGATAGCTGGTTATGCGAGTCAACAAACAGGATACTTTTTACCGCGGAAAAATGGCTTATTTCTGAGAAAAAATACAAAAACTGCAGTGTAAAAGTATACTAATATGTAAATCCTAAGAATTTGGTTTTTGGTCATCTGAACGCGGGCGGAGCCGCGGG